ACGGTCAGCTTCTGATTCGCGCACTGACTGCTCGCTTCGTTAGCAGCCATGATCCGCTCCAAGATTGTAGCGAGGACATCGAGGATTCTCGGCCTCTCGCAGAGATTGGCAGGGTCTATTTCTAGCGTCTTGAAAGCGCTGACTTCCTGAAGCTGATCCGGCAAGGCGAAGGATCCTCCTTTACCCATGGCTTCCGATTCACAAGAAGAGCTATGCCAAGGGAGAAAAAACACGTCGAGTCACGAGAAACTCACGACGGTTCGAATCCGCTAAAGCAGCTGCACATATACGGAGCCCGAAGGAGGGTATACGACGCTTGACGCTCAACTAGTGTTAGGATCCGTTACGTTCGAGGAGAGATTCGGATAGAGAACTAACTACAACGACGGCCAGGAACAATGAAAAAAATAATGCTGTTCAAAACAAGTACTACTGCGGCGAAGCTGTTCAGAGCGCTCTGCTGCTAATGCGCCCTCCGACAATGTCGATGGCGGGAAGAGGCAGGATGGACCAGGAATGCCGAGCCAAGACAAGGAAAGAGAGCGAGGGAAAGAGAGGGAGAGGAGGAGGTGGGGGGAGAGGGAGATGAGATGTGAGGAGAGATTGAAAGAGGGAGGGAGGGTGAGAGCCAGCCTGTGGAGGAGAGATACAGTTCTGTACTGTGCAGAAGGTTTGGATGGATGGAGGGAAACGGCGGCTCTGGTGTGTGCTCACTGGCGTGGGAGAAATCGAAATCGAGGATGAATCGGCGATGGATGGTTGGTGATGAGCGGCGCTCACAATTGACGAACCCGATTTGCTTCTGAAAGCTTCATCTCTCCGCAGATCGCTCGTCTCAAATACCTCGTCAGCGTCCATGCGCGTCGTCGCTTGGTCGCCTCGTCGCCCACCTTGTTTGCATCATTAGGCAGAAGGGGAGGGGTACGATGGGGTCTGATGGGCTGCGACGGCATGCGCCAACTGTCGGTTCGATAGAGAGGTCGCCCGTCAGCCCCCATTGACACAAATGGACCCCTCGTTCACGTCGTCACGTCGCACTTGCTCGCTGAAACGTGTTTGATACCTGTCGCGAGCCCCTCCCCGACCTTCCCTCCCTGCCAAACACGAGTTGGCGAAGTTTTTGCGTCTCCCGCGCGTCGCAAATGTCAGCTACTGGCGACGTTTCTGTTTTGCCGGGGGGGCATGCGCAACGTGGATGCAGTATACTTTCGAATCCAGTCTTGCGCCCTCAACTCCTTGCCCTCCCAATCAGGACGAGTCGCAACAGCCTCGTGTAACAAAATGATGTGGCCACGGTATCTTCGCATGCTGAACCGATCTCCCGCGGGCAAGGACCCTCTCTCTTTGGCTGCGAAGTAAGGCGAGAGAATTGAATTACTCGCAGCTAGCAGAAGTGTTTTCATTGGACAGGTTACCTCTGCTGTACTCGAAGAACATACGAATCACGCGGGAAAAATGCAAAGCGCCACATTCCGACAACTTCCAGAGCTTCACGCACCACACGGGTACCGTATCAGTGGCTGCCACGTCTAATACGATCCGGGCAACACGGGAATTTTTGCAGGAACCCCGTTGTGACACGGACCATAGCACACTTCCATGCCGTGGCTGGGGTCAAAAGAGAACAGGCAGCCCTTCTCGTCGGGCGGGAAAAAGGATCACAGGGTAGGTCAGCAAAAGCTCCACCATAGTGACGAGCAGTATCGTTACAACGTATGCACGTTAACGAAAAATATGTATAGACAAGATCTACTTTCCATATCGTCATCTCATGCTCCCTTAGTTACACAGGCATGACCAGTGTTAAGTGAAGCTGTACGTTCGCATTTCACTGGGTACAAACGTTACAATGGGTACAAGGTTGCATCGTACAGGTACTTTCCGCACCCATATTGCAAAATTCCCATTCATTGGGTCTTAAGACTGAGGAAAAAAACTACCTTGCCTAGTTTACCAGGACTACACAGCAACACAGGTTCATAACTGTTTGCCCTGGTAATGACAATGGTGTTTAGTGCAGCCCCAGCGCAGGACTGAGTACTGCTAGTACAGATGTTAGGCCCACAAAGACTAGCTTGGCATTAAGGAAAAAACAACTGATTATGTATGAAATGCCTGCAGGATGAAGGGACACGAAGAACAGGGAAAGCACAAAGGCTTATGGCCACCCGAGCAGCAAAATAAAATCTTAACACTCTTATTATGAAGAAAAAAAAAGTGCAAAACAACCTCACGACGAACATGGTTGTAATACAGAAAATCTGACCTTACAGCTAGATTGGCTTGATCTTGAAATGAAGACCTATTAACGAGAAAACTAGACACTTCAGATCCTGCGATGCCACAGAAAACGAGAAGAGGAGACAGAGGAGTGAGCGAAGGAGGAAAACAGAACGGAACAAGCGGCAGCTCTGATAACGAAAGAACAGCAACCAAACGCAGCACTAAACTGCTATTTGTGCTTCAAAGAGCGTACCTGCACCAAATAGTAGAAAACCCGAAGGCCCTCTGGATCCTTGCTGCTCTGAACGTCAATTAGAGATCCAATCTTGGAAGTGAGAAACGAGACGTGCTCATTCCCCATGACTATCTCCAGCTCCTGACGACCCACTCTGTCCGGCTCTGGCCAGTTGCTGTCATCCTCCTTCGTCACCTGCACCCTTGGCCGCAAAGGCGAACCGCGAATTATTAAGGGAAGGCTGCTCGACAGTGCTCACTCGGAAAAGGATGCCGCAAACGCGGGAAGCTAAATCGTACCTCGCTCTCCGCAATAATCCGTTTGCACTCCCTCATGACCGCCTCCGACACAAACACCTCTTTTCGGATCATGGTGTCCTTCTTGTAGTTCGAGTTATTCGCGTATCGTAGCTTCCCATCTGGTCTAAACTCGAACTCGAGAAACTCATGGCCGAATTTGCCCTTGTGACCGACGTAGTATCTGACGTAAAATTCTCCTAGCTCGTCGGTCGCCATGTCGTGGACTGATGACACCAAGAACGTGCAAGCTGGACGGCTGTGGAGGTCGAGGACGGCTGAAGGAAGATTAGGTTTAGTGCGCGTGGGAAGAAGTACCTATGGCGGCGATACCCGTAATGGAGCGAACTCGATTGATTGAGGCAATATATACAAAGAAGTATACACACGCTTACGTACCTCAGAATTTTTTAGGTTGGTAACCTGCAAATGCGGAACCCCGACACGTCATCCACCACGTGTCACATGTGCACATGTCACCTTGGGATTGTTCAGTGGGCATCACCCACCATTTCCACCACAAATCCACCCATTTGCGGACAAGCGCACCAGCACCCACTTCCCTTTCCTGCTTCGTCCCAGTCACGCCTCCCAGCGATTTTGTAGCTTAATTATCCTAGTACCGATTTTCAAACGTTTGAAAATACTTGCAAACCTGGTAATCAAGCCTTGATCGCTCCACTTCACTGCATTCCACGCTTGCCTGATCATATATGGGTTCTCTTCCTTCATAAACGACTCCGTTCCAAACCTGCAGAGCACTTGCTGAGATTCTCGAGAACGTCAGGTTGGTGGTCCGCGTCGCCACCTGACTAGCTTGCCCGTGAAGTTCCTTCGCGCGCGGCTAGCTTCACGAACTCGTTGTGGTTGAGGTGCAATGAGGCCCGCCACCTCAACCATTCGCGGGAATGCAGCGTCGATATGCTCTCACGTAGCCCTTACATCCTCGCGCTCCATCGTACCCTCGTCCGCTTTCCGAGAATGTAGTCCCTCAATTTCTCCGTCGTCCGTCACCCGAACGGCCATCCCTTCGTGCTCCACCCATTCCGGGATGGTGCGACATATCTGTCACGGTGTCAGCTCCCAATGCGTCAGATCACCAGCGTTGAGCACTAACGTATCGCTGATTTCTCGCCGATTAAGCAGCTTTCCTCGAGTTGGCGCTGGAAGGAGCATCTGGCTGGGAGCGTCGTCGAATTCGCTGAGCTCTCTTGTGACTCGACCGTTGCTCGGCTCACGCCACGCGAAGCCGTGCTCCGTGCATTCCAGCGTTAGACCAGGTTGGAATGAGATGGACGAGATCGATAGTGTCTGGATGTCGGCATGAAAACGAAATCTAGCGGATGGCGCATTTGTCGCGAGGTTAATGCGCGAGCTTAGATGGAGGGTTTCGACAATAGTGACAAACGTCATCGTAGGAAGAAAGAACATTGCATTTAAGAGTCAATGTCACCAGACGAGCCCCGGTGCAGCAATCCATTATCAGATGAGATAGGATGCTGTCCAAGAGCAGAAGAAATCCATTATTATGTCGCTCCCTCCTTTCCATCCAATTTACCTCGGATGTTTTGCAACATCGTCTCACTGTGCTTTCCCATTTCCACTTCTCCCACACTTTTTCCTCCACTGAAACAGCAAGAACGCTTGCTTCTCTGGTGAGCAATGACGGACCTGCAGGAGAGGATGTGTTTCCCTCGGTCCTTCCTAAGGCCTTTGACTTCGCTGCAGAGGAAAAAATTTATTCCTGGTCAGTGCAATGGGCTTGGACAGTAAATGGCTTATGATAGAATTTTTTTCTTTCCTGGTCAATGGACGACTGAGAGAAGTGGACCTGTGCAGCAGTGTGGTCCACAATTCGTGCTTGGTGAGGAACAGGACAGAAACATCCGCAATCCGCCCGTTCGTTTCCCCCTTGTATGTCCTGCTGTCTGTACCTGGTTGGTGCTGGCAGGTGGGAGGGCAGCGGATACTCAGTTGACTTTTGAGTCGACTCAAAAGTCAATCCGCCCGTTCGTTTCCCCCTTGTATGACCTGCTGTCTGTACCTGGTTGGTGCTGGCAGGTGGGAGGGCAGCGGATACTCAGTTGACTTTTGAGTCGACTCAAAAGTCAATCCGCCCGTTCGTTTCCCCCTTGTATGTCCTGCTGTCTGTACCTGGTTGGTGCTGGCAGGTGGGAGGGCAGCGGATACTGAGTTGACTTTTGAGTCGACTCAAAAGTCAATCCGCCCGTTCGTTTCCCCCTTGTATGTCCTGCTGTCTGTACCTGGTTGGTGCTGGCAGGTGGGAGGGCAGCGGGTACTTCAAGCCAGACGAGTCTGCTCTGCAATCAGGCGCTGCTGCTGCTGCTGCTGCTGCTGCTGGTAGCAACGGCGGGGACAAGGCTGACAGCCACACTGCTCCGTTTGTCATCTCCATGCCCCCTCCCAACGTCACTGGCGCTCTGCACATGGGCCATGCCATGTTCGTCACTCTCGAGGTGGGCAATGGGTTATCCAGAAACAATCATTCCTCATCATCACAAGCATGTCGTGCGAGGTGCCTAAATAACAAGCAGTTCACACCACAGCAGAAGCATGGCAGCATCCCCATCAGCGCTGCTTTTTCAATCAGCAACTCTGAGCATGTAACTGCCAATCAATCATTAACTAAGTCCTGCTGCTGCAAGGGAGAGAGAGACCACCCGACCTTTTTGCTTTGTGTTCCTTCCGCCTGCCCGACCTCTTCCCACCACTCTGTTCTGCATCAGGACATTATGACTCGGTTCTGGCGCATGAAGGGGCGTCCCACCCTCTGGCTGCCAGGCACGGACCATGCAGGCATCGCCACTCAGGTGTGTTGCTCGTCCAAGCTAGTGGTCTTGAATTTGTGAAAAATCCACCTAGCCTCTGGAGCATGTGGGGAAATGCCGTTTAGGTGTGCTGCACGCCCAAGCGAGTAAGTCGTGTTGACCTTGAATCTCCATTGGTTGGCATGGCAGAAACGAATTCCTTGTTCAACTCGCATAGTCACGGTGGTGCAATCATACTCCCTTTCTCTGTATGTCCCCCCCTTCGCCCCCCACAGTTGGTGGTTGAGAAGATGCTTGCGTCTGAGGGGATTAGCCGCCAGGAGCTGGGCCGAGAAGAGTTTGTGAAGCGCGTGTGGGAGTGGAAGGAGAAGTGAGTGTGGGAGTGGAAGGAGAAGTGAGTGTGGGAGTGGAAGGAGAAGTGAGTGTGGGAGTGGAAGGAGAAGTGAGTGTGGAAGTGGAAGGGGAAGTGAGTGTGGGAGTGGAAGGAGAAGTGAGTGTGGGAGTGGAAGGAAAAGTGAGTGTGGGAGTGGAAGGAGAAGTGAGTGTGGGAGTGGAAGGAGAAGTGAGTGTGCAAGGAAAGACAAGATATACACTGGTTTCTTTCTATCTGCATCTTGGTTCACTTGTGTGTGAAAGCGAGTACTGCATATGATTAACACTGTAGCTGTGTGCTTACGCGGTCTGGAATGGTGCGGCATTGGCAGATACGGTGGCACAATTGCAAAGCAGATTCGCAGGCTCGGCGCCTCCTGTGATTGGTCGAGAGAGAGGTTCACTTTGGATGATCAACTCAGCAGTAAGCCATCCCAGTCCACTGCTCCCACCATCCCCACCATCCCCGCCATCCCCGCCGTCCCTCTTCACCATCCCCCCATTCGCACAAGTTTGTTCCCACCATCCCCACCATCCCCCCCATCCCCACCATTTCTCCCCACCATCCCACCATTCCCCCCCCATCCCCATCTCTTTCCTTATCACCCCGTCCGTCCGTTGATCAAAGGCGATCAAACACTCATTGTTCCCTCTTCTCAAGCTGCCATGCTACCTTCGCATCCCACTCACCCAATCATCCACTTTTCCACGCTCTCACAACCTCTAATTTGTGTCTGCCCATCCCATGAGTGCCCATCCCACGTGTGCCCATCCCACGTGTGCCCATCCCACACCCCTTTCGCTCATCTCTTGCCAGAGGCCGTGGTGGAGGCATTTGTGCGCCTGCACAACAAGGGGCTCATCTACCGCGGTCGGTCTCGCACCCCTAGCTCGCTCTCACTCACACACATCCATGCCCGCTGAGTCGACTTCGGGAACATGCCGATGCTTTCTCATGCGTGCTTCTTCCAATCAGTGTGATGTGTTCGGTTCGGATCAATGTCCACAAGACAACCTTAACTTCTTTTTCCTCCCCAGCTGCCTCCCATCGTTTCTTCATCGGCTCCCCAACTAACCAACTAACCCGTTCACATCTCAATCACCCCCTCTCACCCCCCACCAGGCACGTACATGGTCAACTGGTCGCCCTTCCTGCAGACCGCTGTCTCAGATCTGGTGAGCGTGGGACTAGGATTGAAATATCAAATCGATATGAGGGGCCTAAAAAATGTGCCTGATCCGGTGACCCTGGGATGAGAGGGAGGTGTAGTAGGGAGACGTCTCAAAAGTCGCCCCCCACCAGGCACATACATGGTCAACTGGTCGCCCTTCCTGCAGACCGCTGTCTCAGATCTGGTGAGCGTGGGCAGGGCAACCAATAGTAGGAGAAGCACCCCTGTCGGACCTTCCCAGTCCGTTTCCTTGTTATGCACTCCCATAACCTCGTTCTGTATCTTCATCCCCCATCCTTCAACTCCTCCCACTCCTCCCTTGCTCGCCACCTCTCTCCTCTGATGACCCTGCCCCCTCCTTCCCTGTCCCTCATTCCCTCTCCCCCCACCCCTCGTCCTCCCATCCTCTATGCCCATTTTGCGGATCAGGAAGTGGAGTATTCAGAGGAGCCAGGCACGCTCTACTTCTTCAAATACCCCATCGCTGGAGGAACAGAGTAGGTCACATGGTGTACTGAGTCGACTCAAAATTCAACCAGCAAGTGAATCTAGTATCGGCACGCACAGAGTAGCTCACGGAGGAGCCAGGCACGCTCTAATTCTTCAAATACCCCATCGCTGGAGGCACAGAGTAAGTCACATACCGTCTGGGGTGTTTTTTATTCGACCCAGCCTGGTCCTTTCATGCAATACTGTCCCAAACCTCCCACGCAACACTGTAGATGTAAGCAGTGCGGGCAATCTCCTACTTATTGCACATGGAGGATGTGCAATCTCTGCCACCTCCCAACTTCTCCTCCTTTCCACCTCGTCAAACTTCAACCCAACCCCACCACCTTCACCTCCCCTCTTCCACGTCCCCTCCACTTTTCCCAAAAACCACCCACCCCTCGTTTCTTCTTCATCCCCACACCAGGGACGACTATCTGCCGGTGTCTTTCACTGTCCCTTTTTCTCCCCTATGCCTCCCCACCAGGGACGACTATCTGCCCGTGGCCACCACACGCCCAGAGACCATTCTGGGAGACACAGCAGTGGCCGTGCACCCAGAGGACGAGCGCTTCAAGAAGTTTGTGGGAAAGCAGGCCGTGGTGCCCTTGTGTGGCGGCAGGACCATTCCCATCATTGCCGATGATGTGAGTGGCTTTATGTGAAGATGATGTGAGTGAGTGACTTGCTGTGACGATTTTTGAGGCGCCGCAAACATAGTGTGTGGGGCGGCAGGCCGTGGTGCCCTTGTGCGGCGGCAGGACGATTCCCATCATTGCCGATGATGTGAGTGAGTGGGTTGATGTGGCAATCTTTGTGGCGCCTCATAAAGAGTACGTGGGCTGGGCCGGCAGGCTGTGGTGCCCTTGGGTGGCGGCGGGACGATTCCCATTATTGCCGATGACGTGAGTGACTTGCTGTGACGATTATTGAGGTGCCTCAAAATTAGTACGAGGGGCGGCAGGCTCTGGTGTCCTTGTACAGGCAGGGGCAGGCCGATTCCAGTCCTTTGCAGTTGACGTGAGTGACTTGCTGGCTGGGCTGATTTTCCCGTAACTTCTTTCCCTGTCCCTTGCCCCCACTGCTCCCCCAGTACGTGGACATGGAGTTTGGCACAGGGTGCCTCAGGATCACCCCTGGCCACGCCATCAACGATAATACCATGACTCCGCTCCATTGCACAATCATCCCGTCATTCCCCTGTTCCCCTGTACCCCTCTCCCTGTCCCTCTCCCTCTCCCCCCTACGGCCCCAGTACGTGGACATGGAGTTTGGCACGGGGTGCCTGAAGAGCACGCCCGGGCACGACATCAATGACTGTGCCATTCCATCAGAACTTCCTTCCTCCATTCCCCTACTCCCCCATGACCCATCTCCCCATCCCTTCCCCCCACTACTACCCCCCCTACGGCCCCAGTACGTGGACATGGAGTTTGGCACGGGGTGCCTGAAGAGCACGCCCGGGCACGACATCAATGACTGTGCCATTCCATCAGAACTTCCTTCCTCCATTCCCCTACTCCCCCATGACCCATCTCCCCATCCCTTCCCCCCACTACTACCCCCCCTACGGCCCCAGTACGTGGACATGGAGTTTGGCACGGGGTGCCTGAAGAGCACGCCCGGGCACGACATCAATGACTGTGCCATTCCATCAGAACTTCCTTCCTCCATTCCCCTACTCCCCCATGACCCATCTCCCCATCCCTTCCCCCCACTACTACCCCCCCTACGGCCCCAGTACGTGGACATGGAGTTTGGCACGGGGTGCCTGAAGAGCACGCCCGGGCACGACATCAATGACTGTGCCATTCCATCAGAACTTCCTTCCTCCATTCCCCTACTCCCCCATGACCCATCTCCCCATCCCTTCCCCCCACTACTACCCCCCCTACGGCCCCAGTACGTGGACATGGAGTTTGGCACGGGGTGCCTGAAGAGCACGCCCGGGCACGACATCAATGACTGTGCCATTCCATCAGAACTTCCTTCCTCCATTCCCCTACTCCCCCATGACCCATCTCCCCATCCCTTCCCCCCACTACCCCCCCTACGGCCCCAGTACGTGGACATGGAGTTTGGCACGGGGTGCCTGAAGATCACGCCCGGGCATGACATCAACGACTATGCCATCGGGCAGCGCCGGGACCTGCCCATTATCAACATTCTCAACAAGGATGCCACACTCAATGAAAACGCAGGAGCCTTCTGGTAAGGGCTTTGTTCTTCAGGTGGGAAATCAGTTTGTTGTTCATCAGTTACAAGCATACCCGCACTTGCCATCGGGAAGCGGCAGGACCTGCCCATGATTTACATTCAGGTGACTTTTGAGTCGACTCAAAAGCCATCGGGAAGCGGCAGGACCTGCCCACGATTCACATTCTCAACAAGGACGCCACACTCAATGAAAACGCAGGGGCGTTCTAGTAGTGCCAGCTATGCGAGGTGGGAAGACACTCGAGCGTGCGCGCGTATGCCCATCACAAGAAGTATGCCATGGAAAACTTGAAACACACCATCACTACTCTTGTTGAGTGAGTACACTTGATGCCCATTTCCATCCCCCCCCATCTCCTCTCTGCTCCTTCATACCCCGTCCCTCACCAGCAATGCATTTCTCCCTCTCCTCCACTCTCCCCGTCCTCTTCCTCTCTGCAGTGGTTTGGATCGGTTTGAGGCCCGGAAGCAGGTGTGGGAGCAGCTGGAGAAAGAAGGCCTGGCGATCAAACAGCAGCCACATGTGCAGCGGGTGCCACGCTCCCAAAGAGGAGGCGAGGTATGCTTGTAACGAGGACAGGTAGCTTGTGAGTGTAGTGGGCTTTTGGGGGGAGGGGGGTGGGGGGGGCGTTGGTGGTTTGGTCGACAAAACTTTGTCGTCAGTTCTCCCACAATCGACTCGGCTATTTCCTCCACCTCCTTCTTCCCCACACACTTGCCTGCATTTTATTCAAAAGGAGCTACCACTGATGGTTGAGCAGTGACTTGTGCACACGCAGCCAGCTCCTTCCAGCACCTCTGCCCCTCTGCTGCCAGCCACTGGTTCTTGCGCATGCAGCCAGCCAGCCACGGGCAGCATCCTGGTTATACTCAAGTTCTGATTTTAAGATTCCGTTTTCGTTCAAACTGGCCTACTAAAATACGATCTAGCATACAAGCTTAAACCAGGCTTCCCACTTTCATCTCATGGAGTTTGTTTCGCCGTCTTAATAACATCCAAGTTGATGGACGTCAGACCTCCGCAGCCCACCTGTTTACTGATAACAGCAGCTGTCAGCCACTGGTTCTTGCGCATGCAGCCAGCCAGCCACGGGCAGCAGCATCCTGCCTCCCTAGCGCACACACACACTTGCACTTGCACTTCCCTGTCCAACCCCTCCCATTGTTTGCGACTTTTCAGACGTCTCAAAAGTCGTCTACTTACACGCACTTGCACTTGAAGTCAACTGTCTAACCCCTCCCATTGCCTTTTGAGTCGACTCAACCGACTCAAAAGTCAACTGTCCAACCCCTCCCATTGTTTGCGACGTTTCAAACAGGTGGTGGAGCCGCTGGTGAGTCGGCAGTGGTTTGTGCGCATGCAGCCCCTGGCAGAGCCAGCGCTGGAAGCAGCACGGACTGGCGAGCTCAAAATTATTCCGGAGCGGTTCGAGAAGGTATGGTCTGTGGGAGGTTTGGGAATGCATGGTCTGTGGAAGGTTTGAGAAGGTATGTATATTGCTATTCCCTAGGGGGTTCAAGATGGGAGGTATGTATATTGCTATTCCCTAGGGGGTTCAAGATGGGAGGTATGTATATTGCTATTCCCTAGGGGGTTCAAGATGGGAGGTATGTATATTGCTATTCCCTAGGGGGTTCAAGATGGGAGGTATGTATATTGCTATTCCCTAGGGGGTTCAAGATGGGAGGTATGTATATTGCTATTCCCTAGGGGGTTCAAGATGGGAGGTATGTATATTGCTATTCCCTAGGGGGTTCAGGATGGGAGGTCCCTAGGGTTTAGGGTTGATGGGAGGCTATTATCCATCCACTATCGTCCCCCCCACCCCCCGTCTCTCCCTGTCTCTCCTCAACCTTTCTCCCTATCCCTCTCAGATCTACGAGTTCTGGCTGGACAACATCAGGGCTGGAGCATCAGCCAGCATCCCCCCCCTCTTTACCTCTCGTCAGTCACTACCGCCCCCGTTTCTCCCCAACCCTTCTGTACCCCACACACCAGATCTACGAGTTCTGGCTGGACAACATCAGGGATTGGTGCATCAGCCGGCAGCTGTGGTGGGGCCACCGCATCCCCGTCTTCTACCCCTCCTGGGACTCTGCCCCGCCCGCTCCCCTCCCTGGGAAGGGCACTGCCGGTGCTGAGGAGGGGGCGGTGGAGTATGTGGTGGCTGGGACCGAGGCTGAGGCTCGGGAGAAGGTTCGGGAGAGGTTCGGGGACGAGGCGGCGGAGACTGTGCGCCTGGAGCAGGACCCTGACGTGCTCGACACGTGGTTCTCCAGGTGCGTATGCGTTTTTTAAGGACTCAGCAATCACCTACGGGGATGAGGCACCTGAGATTGTGCGGTTGGAGCAGGACCCTGATGTGCTTGACAGGTGGTTCTCAAGGTGCGTATGCAGTTTTTGAGTCGACTCAGAAATTACCTACAGGGATGAGGCACCTGAGACTGTGCGGTTGGAGCAGGACCCTGATGTGCTCGGCACGTGGTTCTCAAGGTACGTATGCGGTTTTACAATTCAAGCTCGTGGTTCTAAGGTACGTTTGAGTCGACTCAGAAGTCACCTCGAGGCGGCTGAGATTGTGCGACTGGGGCAGGATCCTCACGTGCTCGACACGTGGTTCTCAAGGTGCGTATGCGGTTTTTGAGTCCACTCAGAAATCAACTACGGGGATGAGGCACCTGAGACTGTGCGGTTGGAGCAGGATCCTAATGTGCTTTGACACGGCGTACATGAGCACGTTCTCAAGGTCCGTGTGGTTTGCAGTTCAAACACGCCGTACATGGCTTTAACTTTCAAACTTGTGGTTTCAGATCAGACCTCTCCTCCTACCTCTTCTCTTTTTCGTCCCACTATTGTCCTCTGTCTGTTTTCCCAGTAACACCCTCCGCTGTGAGTGTGTGTGAAACCCCCATGGTCTCCTCAGTCTCGGACCTGAAACTCCCCCATCGTTTTCCACTCAGACACCCCTCACGCACTAAGCTTGCATGTGGCGTGCTTTTTTACTCTTTTTTCTGTTCCTCTGCCTTTTAATCCACCAATCGCAGTGGGCTGTGGCCGTTCAGCACGCTGGGTTGGCCCAACGAGTCAGCAGAAGACTACCGGAAGTTCTACCCCACCTCGGTCATGGAAACAGGGTAAGTACCCTGTACACTGCCCTGCAAAATAATCTGCACCGCTTACCTGGTCTCTCTGCGTGTCATTCGTCCAGCCACTAGTACTTTCTGGCTGGAGAACAGTTGTTGCTTCTTGCTTCCCCTTCACGTGACTCGTTGGACTTTGGTACTCTCAGTTACACATGCCAAACATTTGTCTTCCCTGTTCATGTCTGCTTGGATGGGTAACATGGCATCGCATGGCATGGCATGGCACGGGTTGGCATGTGACATGCGCACTGCAGGCACGACATTCTGTTCTTCTGGGTGGCACGCATGACCATGATGGGGTTGGAGTTCACAGGCAGGCTGCCCTTCCACACCATCTACCTGCACGGGCTCGTGCGAGACGCACAGGTACGTGCGTGTGTGTGGGTGGTGTGCAGGTACATGCATGTTCGTGTACGTGTGGTGTATGGTGTACGTATATTGGGTGGTCACCATGATGGGGTTGGAGTTCACAGGCAGGCTGCCCTTCCACACCACACCACACCATCTACCTGCATGGGCTCGTGCGCGACGCACAGGTGTGTACCGTATGTGCGTCGCGCCTACATGCCGTGTCTGGTGTATGCTGGTGGTCCATCTGGTCACCACTCCCAGGTCTTTCCCTCGGTAAACCCCGCAACATCCGCCTGCCTGGCCTCTCTTTCCGCTCCCGCCTCACATGCAGGGTCGCAAGATGTCCAAGTCACTTGTCGACACAATCACTCTTCTTCCCTCCGTCCGCTCGCCTCTCACTTCGGCCCCACGCCCCGCCCCTGTTCCCCATGTATTCCTCCCTCAGGGGCGCAAGATGTCCAAGTCGCTGGGCAACGTGGTGGACCCATTGGATACAATCAATGAGTTTGGCACCGATGCGCTCAGATATACCCTCGCCACCGGCACCACTCCTGGCCAGGTGAGCTCGCTCCCCAGCGAGAAAACCTATTCTTGTGAGCAAATAACTTTCTCCAAGTCTTGTAGTTCTTCCAGGTGGATAGGTGGTAGTTACAGTGGTGTCAGGTCCTTATGCCAGTATCTTGCAGAGTGTTTTTGAGAATTCTCAAAAACACTCTGCAACATTATGCCAGTATCTCATCTTCCCTTGCTGGCTTTTCTTGTTTCTGCCTCCACCCTCTCGGATTTCATCCTCGTTACAAGCAGGACGTGAATCTGTCTATGGAGCGGCTGGGCGCCAACAGGGCGTTTGTGAACAAGATATGGAACGCGGGGAAGTTCATTCTGCAGAACCTTCCTAGCAAGGGCGACGAGAAGCAGTGGCAGCGCCTGGGGCAAGTCAAGGTGTGTGTGTAGTGCGTTGAAGGTTCATGGAGGGGCAAGAGGGATCAGACAATAGTAGTCTTCCCTGTCCTGCTAATGCCCCTTCTGACTCCCAAGACATTCTTCGCTTTCAACTTTTCCTCCATCCCACCCCTTCTCTCTTCTCCAATCAATCAATCAACCCCCTCTCTCTTCTACGTCTCATTGTCTCTATATTACTGTCCCTACATGACAGTTTGACACTCCTGAGGCGCTTGCTGCCCTCCCATTGGCCGAGAGATGGCTGGTAAGTTGAATGCTGTTGCCACTTGCAGCACAGTGGATGGTTATCAGCTTCACTTGCTTTCCCTCCTTGCTTCTTCAGTTCCTCGCATCTACTTTACCGTGCTGTTGTCTCACTGGGCTAGCGACTTGATGTGGGTGTGTAAAACCTACTGTCCCATCCGCGGCTCATCGTCCCTCACTATATCGAAATCACTTTTGAGAATCCGTGGCTTCGATAAGTGATTTCGATATCCGCGGCTCATCGTCCCTCACTTTTGCATGCTCACATTGCTCACGTTTCTCTCGTTGCTCCCATTGCTCTTCTGCAGCTCTCTCGTCTGCACATTCTCGTGGACGAGGTCACAGAGGCATACATTGCCTACGAGTTCAACGTCCCTTCACCTCCTCGTACTCTTCTCCCTCCCCACCCCCCCCCTCCACCCACCCTGGCAGCTCTCCCGCCTGCATACACTTGTGGATGAGGTCACGGAGGCATACATTGCATATGAGTTCAATGCAGCAGGCCGGCGCATCTACGACTTCTTCTGGAGCGACTTTGCTGACTGGTACGGCTTCTTTGCATCAAAGCTACGGTTCAGATGGCTTCTTTGCATCAAAGCTACGGTTCAGATGGCTTCTTTGCATCAAAGCTACGGTTCAGATGGCTTCTTTGCATCAAAGCTACGGTTCAGATGGCTTCTTTGCATCAAAGCTACGGTTCAGATGGCTTCTTTGCATCAAAGCTACGGTTCAGATGGCTTCTTTGCATCAATACGGCTCAGAGAGGATAGATATCTTAATCATGGATGTAATGTTTCCTGTGCATGCTGCACCCCTTTATTTGCTCCCATCAGGTACATCGAGGCCAGCAAGACCCGCCTCTACAGCGGCTTTCGCAACTCCTCATTGCCTTACATGGACCTCACCTCAGCCCTCCTTCCATCCCTCCACGCCCATCAGGTACATCGAGGCCAGCAAGACCCGCCTTTACAGCGGCTTCCGCTCCTCCAGCAGCAGCGGTGAAAGCAGCAGTGAGAGTGAGAACGAAGGGCAGGCGAAGGAGTCCCAAGGCGCACCAGCAGACGAGGCGCAGCTGCAGGCACAGGCGGTGTTGGCATACGCGTTTGACTCCGTGCTGCGACTTCTGCACCCCTTTATGCCATTCGCCTCGGAGCAGCTCTGGCAGACGCTGCCACATGACTCCTCCCTGCCCTCCCTCATGCTCGCCCCCTGGCCCGCTGCTGGTTTGCCGAGGGACACGCAGGCTCAGGAGGAATTAGAGGAAGCACTATTGAGAGGAAGCACTATTGAGAGGAAGCACTATTGAGAGGAAGCACTATTGAGAGGAAGCACTATTGAGAGGAAGCACTATTGAGAGGAAGCACTATTGAGAGGAAGCACTATTGAGAGGAAGCACTATTGAGAGGAAGCACTATTGAGAGGAAGCACTATTGAGAGGAAGCACTATTGAGAGGAAGCACTATTGAGAGGAAGCACTATTGAGAGGAAGCACTATTGAGAGGAAGCACTATTGAGAGGAAGCACTATTGAGAGGAAGCACTATTGAGAGGAAGCACTATTGAGAGGAAGCACTATTGAGAGGAAGCACTATTGAGAGGAAGCACTATTGAGAGGAAGCACTATTGAGAGGAAGCACTGTTGAGAGGAAGCACTATTGAGAGGAAGCACTATTGAGAGGAAGCACTATTGAGAGGAAGCACTATTGAGAGGAAGCACTATTGAGAGGAAGCACTATTGAGAGGAAGCACTATTGAGAGGAAGCACTATTGAGAGGAAGCACTATTGAGAGGAAGCACTATTGAGAGGAAGCACTATTGAGAGGAAGCACTATTGAGAGGAAGCACTATTGAGAGGAAGCACTATTGAGAGGAAGCACTATTGAGAGGAAGCACTATTGAGAGGAAGCACTATTGAGAGGAAGCACTATTGAGAGGAAGCACTATTGAGAGGAAGCACTATTGAGAGGAAGCACTATTGAGAGGAAGCACTATTGAGAGGAAGCACTATTGAGAGGAAGCACTATTGAGAGGAAGCACTATTGAGAGGAAGCACTATTGAGAGGAAGCACTATTGAGAGGAAGCACTATTGAGAGGAAGCACTATTGAGAGGAAGCACTATTGAGAGGAAGCACTATTGAGAGGAAGCACTATTGAGAGGAAGCACTATTGAGAGGAAGCACTATTGAGAGGAAGCACTATTGAGAGGAAGCACTATTGAGAGGAAGCACTATTGAGAGGAAGCACTATTGAGAGGAAGCACTATTGAGAGGAAGCACTATTGAGAGGAAGCACTATTGAGAGGAAGCACTATTGAGAGGAAGCACTATTGAGAGGAAGCACTATTGAGAGGAAGCACTATTGAGAGGAAGCACTATTGAGAGGAAGCACTATTGAGAGGAAGCACTATTGAGAGGAAGCACTATTGAGAGGAAGCACTATTGAGAGGAAGCACTATTGAGAGGAAGCACTATTGAGAGGAAGCACTATTGAGAGGAAGCACTATTGAGAGGAAGCACTATTGAGAGGAAGCACTATTGAGAGGAAGCACTATTGAGAGGAAGCACTATTGAGAGGAAGCACTATTGAGAGGAAGCACTATTGAGAGGAAGCACTATTGAGAGGAAGCACTATTGAGAGGAAGCACTATTGAGAGGAAGCACTATTGAGAGGAAGCACTATTGAGAGGAAGCACTATTGAGAGGAAGCACTATTGAGAGGAAGCACTATTGAGAGGAAGCACTGTTGAGAGGAAGCACTATTGAGAGGAAGCACTATTGAGAGGAAGCACTATTGAGAGGAAGCACTATTGAGAGGAAGCACTATTGAGAGGAAGCACTATTGAGAGGAAGCACTATTGAGAGGAAGCACTATTGAGAGGAAGCACTATTGAGAGGAAGCACTATTGAGAGGAAGCACTATTGAGAGGAAGCACTATTGAGAGGAAGCACTATTGAGAGGAAGCACTATTGAGAGGAAGCACTATTGAGAGGAAGCACTATTGAGAGGAAGCACTATTGAGAGGAAGCACTATTGAGAGGAAGCACTATTGAGAGGAAGCACTATTGAGAGGAAGCACTATTGAGAGGAAGCACTATTGAGAGGAAGCACTATTGAGAGGAAGCACTATTGAGAGGAAGCACTATTGAGAGGAAGCACTATTGAGAGGAAGCACTATTGAGAGGAAGCACTATTGAGAGGAAGCACTATTGAACTTGAGAGGAAGCACTATTGAGAGGAAGCACTATTGAGAGGAAGCACTATTGAGAGGAAGCACTATTGAGAGGAAGCACTATTGAGAGGAAGCACTATTGAGAGGAAGCACTATTGAGAGGAAGCACTATTGAGAGGAAGCACTATTGAGAGGAAGCACTATTGAGAGGAAGCACTATTGAGAGGAAGCACTATTGAGAGGAAGCACTATTGAGAGGAAGCACTATTGAGAGGAAGCACTATTGAGAGGAAGCACTATTGAGAGGAAGCACTATTGAGAGGAAGCACTATTGAGAGGAAGCACTATTGAGAGGAAGCACTATTGAGAGGAAGCACTATTGAGAGGAAGCACTATTGAGAGGAAGCACTATTGAGAGGAAGCACTATTGAGAGGAAGCACTATTGAGAGGAAGCACTATTGAGAGGAAGCACTATTGAGAGGAAGCACTATTGAGAGGAAGCACTATTGAGAGGAAGCACTATTGAGAGGAAGCACTATTGAGAGGAAGCACTATTGAGAGGAAGCACTATTGAGAGGAAGCACTATTGAGAGGAAGCACTATTGAGAGGAAGCACTATTGAGAGGAAGCACTATTGAGAGGAAGCACTATTGAGAGGAAGCACTATTGAGAGGAAGCACTATTGAGAGGAAGCACTATTGAGAGGAAGCACTATTGAGAGGAAGCACTATTGAGAGGAAGCACTATTGAGAGGAAGCACTATTGAGAGGAAGCACTATTGAGAGGAAGCACTATTGAGAGGAAGCACTATTGAGAGGAAGCACTATTGAGAGGAAGCACTATTGAGAGGAAGCACTATTGAGAGGAAGCACTATTGAGAGGAAGCACTATTGAGAGGAAGCACTATTGAGAGGAAGCACTATTGAGAGGAAGCACTATTGAGAGGAAGCACTATTGAGAGGAAGCACTATTGAGAGGAAGCACTATTGAGAGGAAGCACTATTGAGAGGAAGCACTATTGAGAGGAAGCACTATTGAGAGGAAGCACTATTGAGAGGAAGCACTATTGAGAGGAAGCACTATTGAGAGGAAGCACTATTGAGAGGAAGCACTATTGAGAGGAAGCACTATTGAGAGGAAGCACTATTGAGAGGAAGCACTATTGAGAGGAAGCACTATTGAGAGGAAGCACTATTGAGAGGAAGCACTATTGAGAGGAAGCACTATTGAGAGGAAGCACTATTGAGAGGAAGCACTATTGAGAGGAAGCACTATTGAGAGGAAGCACTATTGAGAGGAAGCACTATTGAGAGGAAGCACTATTGAGAGGAAGCACTATTGAGAGGAAGCACTATTGAGAGGAAGCACTATTGAGAGGAAGCACTATTGAGAGGAAGCACTATTGAGAGGAAGCACTATTGAGAGGAAGCACTATTGAGAGGAAGCACTATTGAGAGGAAGCACTATTGAGAGGAAGCACTATTGAGAGGAAGCACTATTGAGAGGAAGCACTATTGAGAGGAAGCACTATTGAGAGGAAGCACTATTGAGAGGAAGCACTATTGAGAGGAAGCACTATTGAGAGGAAGCACTATTGAGAGGAAGCACTATTGAGAGGAAGCACTATTGAGAGGAAGCACTATTGAGAGGAAGCACTATTGAGAGGAAGCACTATTGAGAGGAAGCACTATTGAGAGGAAGCACTATTGAGAGGAAGCACTATTGAGAGGAAGCACTATTGAGAGGAAGCACTATTGAGAGGAAGCACTATTGAGAGGAAGCACTATTGAGAGGAAGCACTATTGAGAGGAAGCACTATTGAGAGGAAGCACTATTGAGAGGAAGCACTATTGAGAGGAAGCACTATTGAGAGGAAGCACTATTGAGAGGAAGCACTATTGAGAGGAAGCACTATTGAGAGGAAGCACTATTGAGAGGAAGCACTATGGAGAGGAAGCACTATTGAGAGGAAGCACTATGGAGAGGAAGCACTATTGAGAGGAAGCACTATTGAGAGGAAGCACTATTGAGAGGAAGCACTATTGAGAGGAAGCACTATTGAGAGGAAGCACTATTGAGAGGAAGCACTATTGAGAGGAAGCACTATTGAGAGGAAGCACTATTGAGAGGAAGCACTATTGAGAGGAAGCACTATTGAGAGGAAGCACTATTGAGAGGAAGCACTATTGAGAGGAAGCACTATTGAGAGGAAGCACTATTGAGAGGAAGCACTATTGAGAGGAAGCACTATTGAGAGGAAGCACTATTGAGAGGAAGCACTATTGAGAGGAAGCACTATTGAGAGGAAGCACTATTGAGAGGAAGCACTATTGAGAGGAAGCACTATTGAGAGGAAGCACTATTGAGAGGAAGCACTATTGAGAGGAAGCACTATTGAGAGGAAGCACTATTGAGAGGAAGCACTATTGAGAGGAAGCACTATTGAGAGGAAGCACTATTGAGAGGAAGCACTATTGAGAGGAAGCACTATTGAGAGGAAGCACTATTGAGAGGAAGCACTATTGAGAGGAAGCACTATTGAGAGGAAGCACTATTGAGAGGAAGCACTATTGAGAGGAAGCACTATTGAGAGGAAGCACTATTGAGAGGAAGCACTATTGAGAGGAAGCACTATTGAGAGGAAGCACTATTGAGAGGAAGCACTATTGAGAGGAAGCACTATTGAGAGGAAGCACTATTGAGAGGAAGCACTATTGAGAGGAAGCACTATTGAGAGGAAGCACTATTGAGAGGAAGCACTATTGAGAGGAAGCACTATTGAGAGGAAGCACTATTGAGAGGAAGCACTATTGAGAGGAAGCACTATTGAGAGGAAGCACTATTGAGAGGAAGCACTATTGAGAGGAAGCACTATTGAGAGGAAGCACTATTGAGAGGAAGCACTATTGAGAGGAAGCACTATTGAGAGGAAGCACTATTGAGAGGAAGCACTATTGAGAGGAAGCACTATTGAGAGGAAGCACTATTGAGAGGAAGCACTATTGAGAGGAAGCACTATTGAGAGGAAGCACTATTGAGAGGAAGCACTATTGAGAGGAAGCACTATTGAGAGGAAGCACTATTGAGAGGAAGCACTATTGAGAGGAAGCACTATTGAGAGGAAGCACTATTGAGAGGAAGCACTATTGAGAGGAAGCACTATTGAGAGGAAGCACTATTGAGAGGAAGCACTATTGAGAGGAAGCACTATGAGAGGAAGCACTATTGAGAGGAAGCACTATTGAGAGGAAGCACTATTGAGAGGAAGCACTATTGAGAGGAAGCACTATTGAGAGGAAGCACTATTGAGAGGAAGCACTATTGAGAGGAAGCACTATTGAGAGGAAGCACTATTGAGAGGAAGCACTATTGAGAGGAAGCACTATTGAGAGGAAGCACTATTGAGAGGAAGCACTATTGAGAGGAAGCACTATTGAGAGGAAGCACTATTGAGAGGAAGCACTATTGAGAGGAAGCACTATTGAGAGGAAGCACTATTGAGAGGAAGCACTATTGAGAGGAAGCACTATTGAGAGGAAGCACTATTGAGAGGAAGCACTATTGAGAGGAAGCACTATTGAGAGGAAGCACTATTGAGAGGAAGCACTATTGAGAGGAAGCACTATTGAGAGGAAGCACTATTGAGAGGAAGCACTATTGAGAGGAAGCACTATTGAGAGGAAGCACTATTGAGAGGAAGCACTATTGAGAGGAAGCACTATTGAGAGGAAGCACTATTGAGAGGAAGCACTATTGAGAGGAAGCACTATTGAGAGGAAGCACTATTGAGAGGAAGCACTATTGAGAGGAAGCACTATTGAGAGGAAGCACTATTGAGAGGAAGCACTATTGAGAGGAAGCACTATTGAGAGGAAGCACTATTGAGAGGAAGCACTATTGAGAGGAAGCACTATTGAGAGGAAGCACTATTGAGAGGAAGCACTATTGAGAGGAAGCACTATTGAGAGGAAGCACTATTGAGAGGAAGCACTATTGAGAGGAAGCACTATTGAGAGGAAGCACTATTGAGAGGAAGCACTATTGAGAGGAAGCGAAGCACTATTGAGAGAAGCACTATTGAGAGGAAGCACTATTGAGAGGAAGCACTATTGAGAGGAAGCACTATTGAGAGGAAGCACTATTGAGAGGAAGCACTATTGAGAGGAAGCCACTATTGAGAGGAAGCACTATGAGAGGAAGCACTATTGAGAGGAAGCACTATTGAGAGGAAGCACTATTGAGAGGAAGCACTATTGAGAGGGAAGCACTATTGAGAGGAAGCACTATTGAGAGGAAGCACATTGAGAGGAAGCACTGATTGAGAGGAAGCACCACTATTGAGAGGAAGCACTATTGAGAGGAAGCACTATTGAGAGGAAGCACTGGTTGAGGGAAGCACTATTGAGAGGAAGCACTATTGAGAGGAAGCACTATTGAGAGGAAGCCACTATTGAGAGGACGCACTATTGAGAGGAAGCACTATTGAGAGGAAGCACTATTGAGAGGAAGCACTATTGAGAGGAAGCACTATTGAGAGGAAGCACTATTGAGAGGAAGCACTATTGAGAGGAAGCCTATTGAGAGGAAGCACTATGAGAGGAAGCACTATTGAGAGGAAGCACTATTGAGAGGAAGCACTATTGAGAGGAAGCCACTATTGAGAGGAAGCACTATTGAGAGGAAGCACTATTGAGAGGAAGCACTATTGAGAGGAAGCACTATTGAGAGGAAGCACTATTGAGAGGAAGCACTATAGAGGAAGCACTATTGAGAGGAAGCACTATTGAGAGGAAGCACTATTGAGAGGAAGCACTATTGAGAGGAAGCACTATTGAGAGAAGCACTATTGAGAGGAAGCACTATTGAGAGGAAGCACTATTGAGAGGAAGCACTATTGAGAGGAAGCACTATTGAGAGGAAGCACTATTGAGAGGAAGCACTATTGAGAGGAAGCACTAGTTGAGAGGAAGCACTATTGAGAGGAAGCACTATTGAGAGGAAGCACTATTGAGAGGAAGCACTATTGAGAGGAAGCACTATAAGCACTATTGAGAGGAAGCACTATTGAGAGGAAGCACTATTGAGAGGAAGCACTATTGAGAGGAAGCACTATTGAGAGGAAGCACTATTGAGAGGAAGCACTATTGAGAGGAAGCACTATTGAGAGGAAGCACTATTGAGAGGAAGCACTATTGAGAGGAAGCACTATTGAGAGGAAGCACTATTGAGAGGAAGCACTATTGAGAGGAAGCACTATTGAGAGGAAGCACTATTGAGAGGAAGCACTATTGAGAGGAAGCACTATTGAGAGGAAGCACTATTGAGAGGAAGCACTATTGAGAGGAAGCACTATTGAGAGGAAGCACTGTTGAGAGGAAGCACTATTGAGAGGAAGCACTATTGAGAGGAAGCACTATTGAGAGGAAGCACTATTGAGAGGAAGCACTATTGAGAGGAAGCACTATTGAGAGGAAGCACTATTGAGAGGAAGCACTATTGAGAGGAAGCACTATTGAGAGGAAGCACTATTGAGAGGAAGCACTGGTGAGAGGAAGCACTATTGAGAGGAAGCACTATTGAGAGGAAGCACTATTGAGAGGAAGCACTATTGAGAGGAAGCACTATTGAGAGGAAGCACTATTGAGAGGAAGCACTATTGAGAGGAAGCACTATTGAGAGGAAGCACTGGTGAGAGGAAGCACTATTGAGAGGAAGCACTATTGAGAGGAAGCACTATTGAGAGGAAGCACTATTGAGAGGAAGCACTATTGAGAGGAAGCACTATTGAGAGGAAGCACTATTGAGAGGAAGCACTATTGAGAGGAAGCACTATTGAGAGGAAGCACTATTGAGAGGAAGCACTATTGAGAGGAAGCACTATTGAGAGGAAGCACTATTGAGAGGAAGCACTGGTGAGAGGAAGCACTATTGAGAGGAAGCACTATTGAGAGGAAGCACTATTGAGAGGAAGCACTATTGAGAGGAAGCACTGTTGAGAGGAAGCACTATTGAGAGGAAGCACTATTGAGAGGAAGCACTATTGAGAGGAAGCACTATTGAGAGGAAGCACTATTGAGAGGAAGCACTATTGAGAGGAAGCACTATTGAGAGGAAGCACTATTGAGAGGAAGCACTATTGAGAGGAAGCACTATTGAGAGGAAGCACTATTGAGAGGAAGCACTATTGAGAGGAAGCACTGGTGAGAGGAAGCACTGGTGAGAGGAAGCACTATTGAGAGGAAGCACTATTGAGAGGAAGCACTATTGAGAGGAAGCACTATTGAGAGGAAGCACTATTGAGAGGAAGCACTATTGAGAGGAAGCACTATTGAGAGGAAGCACTGGTGAGAGGAAGCACTATTGAGAGGAAGCACTATTGAGAGGAAGCACTATTGAGAGGAAGCACTATTGAGAGGAAGCACTATTGAGAGGAAGCACTATTGAGAGGAAGCACTATTGAGAGGAAGCACTATTGAGAGGAAGCACTATTGAGAGGAAGCACTATTGAGAGGAAGCACTATTGAGAGGAAGCACTATTGAACACTATTGAGAGGAAGCACTATTGAGAGGAAGCACTATTGAGAGGAAGCACTATTGAGAGGAAGCACTGTTGAGAGGAAGCACTATTGAGCAGGAAGCACTATTGAGAGGAAGCACTATTGAGAGGAAGCACTATTGAGAGGAAGCACTATTGAGAGGAAGCACTATTGAGAGGAAGCACTATTGAGAGGAAGCACTATTGAGAGGAAGCACTATTGAGAGGAAGCACTATTGAGAGGAAGCACTATTGTGAATTCTCAGAACCACTGGTGAGCTCTTGCCTTAACTCACAACCATTTCCCCTTGCCTTGTCCCTTCCCCCCACCCCCCCTTCCACTTGCAGACACAAGCCATCCGCAGTGTGCGTGCAAGAAAATCCGATCCATTTTCACCCTCTCGTGTTCCCCTCATCCCCGCTCTCCCTTCTCTGCATGCAGGTGAGGCCCATTCGCAATGTGAGGGTGGAGTACTCAGTGCAACCGGCCAAGAAGGTAGCTGCAGGGCAGGCAGCCCTGATGCACACACTCACACACCCTCAGATGTTCCACACCTTCCCATCTCCTTTCCTCCCAACACCAAACCCGCCCCAACCCGAACTTCTCTCTGCACATGCAGGTGCGTGTGGGCCATCCACAATGTGAGAAGATAGCAGTAAGAACGGTGACACCCTCTCCATGGCGTAAATCACGTGTGACCAATTTACGCAATCACGCATGGCCAAGCCCTCTCCATCCCCCCTCTCCACACATGCAGGTGCGGGCCATTCGCAATGCGAGGGCGGGATATCCAGTGGAACCGGCCAAGAAGATAGCTGCAGGGCAAGCTGAAGTATATGCAATCACACCTTCTCATGCCCCACCCGCTCCCTTCTCTGCTTTCAGGCGCGGGCCATTCGCAATGCGAGTGCAGAGTACCCAGAGGAACCAGTCAAGGAGATAGCTGCAGGGCAAGCAGCTTCAATGCACACTCACGCTTCCCTCTCTCCTTCCCACCCTGAAATTCCCCCGTGCAGGTGCGGGCCATCCGCAATGTGAGGGCGGAGTGCCCAGTGGAACCAGCCAAAAAGTAGGGGCAGAGTATTCAGTGGACCGCAGGGGCGGAGTGCCCAGTGGAACCGGCCACGAAGATAGCCGTAAGGCAGACACCTTCTATGCAGACAAGCACACCTTCATTGATCCACAACCCCCAATCTCCTTCTCGCCTTGTGCAGGTGCGAGCCATCCGCAACGTGAGGGCGGAGTATTCAGTGGAACCGGCCAAAAAGATAGCCGCCACTGTCATCGCTGCACCCGCCCTCTCTCCTGCCATTCAGGTGCGTGCCTCGTTTCTCTTTTTCATGCTTACGTAAGGGAAAAAATGTAAGCTGGCTGGGTCAGTAATCAGTGGAACCGGCCAAAAAGTTGGCTGCCACTGTCATTGCTGCTCCTCCCCTCTCTCCTGCCATTCACATGCATGCCTGCTGGCTCCTGGGTCACCATTCCTTGTGATGTTTTTTTATCTTATGCGAATGTATCCTTGCTGTCATGTCTCCTCCTCTAGTGCATCCCCGGTCATTACAAGGAGGTCTCTTCCCGCCATCTCGTGTAATGGTTTTTTGAGACGTACTCAATGGTGTCCCCTCGCGTGTCTTCCCGCTGCCATGTTCCCCCCTCTACTCATGTGTGTGCGATCCTACCAATCAAATTCATGCCTGCCATGTGTATGTGACCTGTGTGTGACGTCTGTTCATGGCACACAGGGTGAGAGGGATGTGCTAGCCTTGCTTGCTCGAGTTGACCCTGCCTCTCTGCACATCACGTCGGACCAACCAGGTGAGCTGCGTGTTGACTTTTGAGTCGACTCAAAAGCCTCTCTGCACATCACGTCGGACCAACCAGGTGAGCTGCGTCGCTATCACTGTACCGTGCTGCTGCGATGGATGCGCTTGCGGCATGCATCGCCTCCCACATTCCTTGACATTGCAGGGAGTTTTTGAGAATTCTCAAAAACTCCCCGCTATCACTGTACCGTGCTGCTGCGATGGATTCGCTTGCGGTCGAAATGTGCATGCATCACCTCCCAAGCGCACAATACTTAAGGCGCCTCGAAAAGCTATGGGTGGGCATCGCCTCCCACAATACCTAAGGCGCCTCAATACGCGTCTCGTCGCTATCAGTGTGCTCCGCTGCTGCGCCTGCAATTGAATTGTGCTGCGTGTTTCACTTGCCACCCCTCGCTCGTCCCCTCCCCTTTCCTTCACCCCATTCCAGATGCGGCAGCAGCGCCAGCATGTGTGCATGGGCCTGGAGGCATATCTGCCCATAGCGGACATGGTGGACGTTCCCAAGGAGCTGCAGCGCCTGGGCAAGCAGCCATGTTCCCCTCCCATCCGACTATCCTTTCCCCTCCCAATGCCCCATCTCCATGCTGCAGCACCCCTCTCAAACCCCTCGTACCCTCACCCCACCCCTGTCTCTCCCTCTTCCCGTCCCCATTCAAACACCCCAACCCAGACGAGGCGGCAGCAGCAGCATGTGTGCATGTGGTGGCAGCAGAGGGCCTAGAGGCATATCTGCCCATAGCGGACATGGTGGACGTTCCCAAGGAGCTGCAGCGCCTGGGCAAGCAGCAGACCAAGCTCACTGCCGATCTCAACTCCTGCCGCTCCCGCCTCTCCTCCAAGAAGGTGAGTATCTAGCCCTCGAGGCACCTGCAAAGGAGGTGACTTTTGAGTCGACTCACAAGTCGCTCCCGCCTCTCCTCCAAGAAGGTGAGTAGCTAGCCTTCGAGGCACATGTCCTTCCTACAAGGAACTGCCTGCAACGCCTCGGAACGCAAGCAGCAGACCAAGCTCACTGCCGATCTCAATTCCTGCCGCTCCCGCCTCTCCTCCGACAAGGTGCATAATAAAGGCATCATCCATAAACCTGTTTTCTCTTCCCTTTTCTTCCTTCTCCCAGCACCATCCGTCCTTGCCTCTGTCCCTTCCCCAGCTTGTAGACGAACTCTTCCTCCTTTCTCTTCCCTCTCCCTCTCCCATTCGACCTCGCTTCTTTTCTTCCCCCAGTTTGTGGACAAGGCGCCAGCGGCAGTAGTGGATGGGGTGAGGAAGCATCTTAACTTCTCTCTTCCCTTCTTCCTCCCAAATCCATCCAATCGTTGCCTTTTGCCCTTCTCCCCCAGTTTGTGGACAAGGCGCCAGCAGCAGTAGTAGACAGAGTGAGGGTGCACGCAACTCTCCCCCAGCCTTTCCTCAAGCCTTCCCTCCCTTCCTTCCCTTCCTCGTTTCTTCAGTTTGTGGACAAGGCGCCAGCGGCAGTAGTAGACGGAGTGAGGAAGCAGGCGGAGGAGGCGGAGGAGAAACTAGCTCTTGTTAACAGACGCATGGAGCAGCTGCAAGGCATGGCTGCCACAACTGCTGCTAGTGCATGACGTTTTCAGTGGGCTCAAGAGGCAGGCTGAGGAGGCAGAGGAGGCAGAGGGTGAACTAGCTCTTGTGAACAGACGCATGGAGCAGCTACAGGGCATGGCTACCACCACTGCTGCCACCACTGCTGCCACCAGCGCGTGACCTACCGCACCTGGTTTATCACCTCTGCTGCTTTTGCTGGCACTCACTACAAAGGCTAATTCAATGCACCATCTTTCCGTTCTGACACCCGACGTCTCTACAAATAAGTAAATGCAAGCCATGTGCCGCTGCAGCAGGCAGGTCCTTTGGTCTGCTGCACCCCGGCCTGTGTCAAGTGCACGATCTCTATCAGGTGTTCCCTGATTGCTGCTTGCATGTTCCCTCTTTCTTGCAGCTACTGGGTAAGCCTTAGTGGATGCTTTGTGTGGTCCTGAAAAAGCCGGGCTATGAGTGATTCCTGTCTCTGACCCATCGGTGTTTTGAGACGTCTCAAAACGGGCTATGAGTTATTCCTGTCTCTGACGCATCGGTGGAGCTGCAGGCACAAGGAGTCTCTGTCACTGACTCACTGGTCACAATATGACAAAATATTCTCTTTGTAACAAAGCATTGCTTCCACAATGGCTAGAAAACCTGGACTCCTGAATCAACTTCAGTGGCAGCACCAACAGCAGCGGCCACCTGAGCATCCACCACACAGAATCCCTTCTCCCTGCACGCCTCTTCCAGCCTTGCTCTCTGCTGCTCCCCCTCAGGGCAGAAGGCCACCACAGCTGGTAGCCTGGTACTAATATCAACCCCTCAATCCAACTCCACAGCAGAGGCCACCTGAGCATCCACCACACAGAACCCCTTTTCCCTGCACTCCTCTTTGAGCCTCGCTCTCTGCTGCTCCCCCTCAGGGCAAAACGCCACTACAGCACCACCGCTGCCTGTGAACTTGGCTGCTGCCCTCACTGCCCGTGCTGCCTGCACCATGCTCAGATTCACCTCCCCCAGCACCTCGTCCCCAAACATCTGCCTGGAAGGTGGTGAGGGGCACAAAGGTGGAAAGAGGGATGGAGCAGGGGGTGTGTGGTCCAGGGGCTGGGGGTGTGTGGCCCAGGGGCCGGGGGTGTGAAAAAGGGAAATTCTTGAGATGCAGAACGTCAATTCCACTTATTTCACTACCTTGCCTTCACATGAAAGTGACACTCAGGTCGTACCATACCTTCAGGTCGTACCATACCTTCAGGTCGTACCATACCTTCATCGGGGGTACCAGCCACCCAGCTAGTGCTGGGCACTCAAATCACACCTGCGCAGGTCAAAGTTTCGGTCCATCAGCCGAGCAAGCTTCCCCCAATCCCGTGCCACCAGAGCATCCCGCCCCTCCTCTGCCAGCGCTGCCACGTCAGCCATGGCCTGGCATACCGCCACGTCACCGGCCTGCCACCTGGCACGCACGGAGCTGTGCACGTGGCCTGAGTCGCTGGGATTGGCTGCAAAGATGATCTGCAGAGGCGGCAAGAGGGCCGGATTCATGGGCTGGTACATGCCATAGCCATGCGCATCTAGGTGTGGTTGGTTGAAGTCCTGTCGAGTGGGGTGGGGTGGAAAAGGCAGCAAGAGCAGTCAGCAAGTGTGAGGGGAAAGTGGGACTTAACATATGGGAGGTAAGAGGGCCACGTCCATGGGCTGGTTCATGCCGTATCCGTGTGCTTCTAGGCTTGGCTCACTGAAGTCTGCTTTTGAGTCGACTCAAAAGCTCACTCAAGTCCTGTGAGGTGGGAGAGGAGGAAGAGGAAGGTGCAAGGAGCACGATGGAGCTTAAGCTGAGATATATGTCATCTCAGCCCTGATCCCACTTTGAGGAGATTGAACAGGCGGGCAATGGACCGGGAAACGGGTTTATGTAGAGCAAATCATCTGTGACTTTTTTTTTTTGGGGGGGGGGGGGGGGGGGGGGGGGGGAGGGGGAAGGGGGAGGGGAGAGAAGGTGGGACTAACCATGAACACCAGTCCACCGTAGGTTTGGATGACCCGATCCTGCAGGCCCGCAGTGATGCCGAGCCTGCTCTCAGCCTCGAGGATGAGGTTCGGGCGCACAGGTACGGGAATGGCGCGGTGGAGGTGGTAATGATGGAGGAGGCAGCTGAGGGCGGCAGCAATGATTGCACTGGATCCTGACAGGCCCACCTGATTGGTTGGTGGAAGCGGGAAAGAAAATAGAAAGAGAGAGAAAGGGATAAGTTAACGCGTGGAGGGGAGAGATGGGTGAAGGAGACAGCAGATGTCAAGGTGTTCGTGGCGGTGATGGTGATGGTGATGGTGCGGGTCGTTCATAAGAATTTTTATGAAGATGGGCAGAGAGGATATTAGGTAATGGATGGAGATTCGCCAGGCAAAATATGCTGGTAGGCTTACTGGCGAAATATATTGGTAACCCTACCTGGCGAGGAATGTTGGTGGAGTAGGAGAGAGTGAATGCGGCGGGTTGTGGCAAGTCAACGCCGTGCTGCTGGCAGTGGTCGTGGACACACGCGCACAGCGACACTAGAAGACAAACGCCGCCATCCGCGTGGTCAAGCCGCTGCTTCTTGGATCGTTCCGCCTGTGCCGCCCCTAGAGTCAAGACACACGAAAGGGAGGGCAAACACGTGACGGGGCGTGTCGGTAAAAGCTAGTCGACTATTTGATAAGGACGAATGGGACGATCGCGACGAGTGCAACAGTTAGGTCGATTGGATCGAACGTTACAAATCGACGCGCGCACCAGATCGCTAAGCGACGCGAATTCGGTGATGACATCGCCCGCACACGGCTTAATTCGTATTGTTCGCGAAGGCTGTAGCGTGACTTCGGCGAAGAAGTTGGCGAGGGAGAAGGAAAGAGTCTTTCCGTTGTAGCCATCGCTGGGATTCCCCAACAGCCCCACGCGCGCGTACGCCCGTCGTGTGATGCTGCGCGCCGAGTCAGAATCCGCTTCCGCGGGATTCGGATTTGAGCAATTCTCAATCTGGTCTACGCGTCCTTCCATTTTAGCAATTGCAAGAAAATTGGTAAGAGCAGAAGAACACTAGTGTGACGGAAACTAATTGAATATTGACGCAGTGTCGTGCGTTGTGACGGCTCTCGCGAAAGGAAACGGAGTTATTCTCGCTAGTAGTGATGTTCGAAGAACAATGGCTTGAAGGGTACCCGCTCGTTGCTGGGAAGAAATGGAGCTGCTGCTGGTGCTGGCTGCTGGCCCTTCTCGAGCTTGCCCGCTCGCAACTGCTCTGATGACATCGAAGTGTCCGAAGACAGTCGAACACGACTCCACGTGTACAGCCTGGCACCACAGCGTAGAAGTTTTGTGTTTGTTTTGGGAAAATAAAAACGAATTGTTGAGTTGATGAAGGCATACTTACCTGGGCGGGGTCAATCGGTGATCAAGAAGGCCGATGGCCTAGGGGCGGGCCCGCCATTGCACTTCGGCCGGCCCTGTCCCTAGCACGCCGGAACTCCCGGTGATGCACGTCATAATTTGTGGCAGAGGGGGCTCGCGTTCGCGCGGCCCCTACCAAGATGAATTTTGAAGTGGGATTTGTAGCATGTTGGAAAGTCTCAAATGAAATTTGAGCTGCGACTGTGGCTCGGGTAGCCACAGGCGAACATGCCTTCGCTTGGATCGTTGTCAAAATTCCGTGTACCACAAGAGATTAGATGTTGAAGTTAACGCACAATCGCTGTAGGGAGAACAAGTAAAGTGAGTCAAAGCACAGAGAAACTCAACACTGGCCAAACAACAACGAATCACTCTTTGTCGACACCAGTGTTTCGCGCGCAAACTGTCACAGGCTGCGACTGTCTGTCAGAACCAAGACCGTCCCCTTTTTGAGGAACCACACTTCACCACGAGTCGTGCACGATATCTCAATTGCGCGAAACGAACTGTTACACAAAACTCCTTCGTCACACCCACTTCCACCTCAAAATTTCATGACCACGACGTCTTCGTCAGCGTCGCCACGCCTCGCCAATATGCGCTGTCAGGGGTGCCCAACCTGCTCTTCTTGGTCGTGCTTTTCCCAATTTCTAGGGTTCCTCAAAGTGAGGCTTGGTGGGAGTTGCAGGTAATTCCAAGGCTGTCTTCTTCCAGCAGCAGTGAAGTTCTTCAACGTCAGTTCCTTTTAGCTCCCACCAGACAGCCTTGGTTCTACCGTAACAGGATCCGTACATGCTTCGATTGTGCTCTATTTGGGGTTCCGTTCATAGGTTGCTTCTGTAACTCTAGCGATTATCACGTATCCAGGTTGCAGGTTACTACCGTGCAAGGTCTTTTCTCGGCGACATACTGCCGTTTCCCTGCCGTTTTCACGGGTAACCCATGACGCTCGCTTCGGTGTTCGTTTCTCTGGTGACTCGTTCCATCTCATCTCTTGGCGAACCGCTTAGGCAGCAGCTGACTTGCTTTTTCCCGACTTAGCATCACCGGACGGCTGTAGACTCGTACACCGTAATATCTGAACTCCCCGGTTGGCGGTTCAGTTATGGAAATTCTCCCGCCGTCAACTACCCGTCAGCCGGCTATTCCGGGCCGGCCGGAGCAATCAGAGGAGTACGCATGGGTTCCAGGTCTAATCGACGCGGCGACGATCGAGAAGCTCGAGCGCGTAGGTATGACATGGGGCCCTCTGACCGGCCTCCCGTGGGGAGCTCCCATCCCTCTGCTTCTCCTAACAGCCTTCTGCACCACTCTGCACCGATACAACCCCAGGCGGAGGGATTTCCCCGTGGGAGTGTCGTTCGGGTGGTATATACTGCAGGCGGAAGACGTGGACGATGAGCCGCCACCGGCGGACGCGCACAAGGGCGGGGGAGGGGGAGGGGGAGGGGGAGGAAGAGGCGGGGGAAGGGGGCACGGTGACGCTGGCGCTGGCGGCCACCGGCAGTCGCTTTTCTCCGATAGTGAGGTCTCCGATTCCGAGTTCGAGTCGTCCCGCCAGGCCACGCGGTTGTCCGCGATCGGCGGCGGCGGCGGCGGGGCCGGAGGAGGAGGCGGTGCGGGAGGAGCGCTAGCAGCGGTGGCGCGCGCGGCGTACCAGTCATCCGCAGGTCCGGGCGGGGGCGTGGGAGCAGGCAAGGGAGGAACCATCCCGCAGGGAATGCGGCCAGGCGGACTAGCCACAGGACTCCTTTCCACCATGGTTGGCGCAATGGCTGGGGGAGGGGCAAAACCCGTAGCAGCAGGCGCAGGCGCAGGAGCAGCTTCCGCGAAACCCGCGGGCGGCGGGCTGATGCGGCTGTGGCAGGGGGGGAAGCTGTACGACGCGCCGCCGTCGGGGCAGGATCTTAGGGTTAGCTGGCGCGCTAACGGGCTGTTTCACGACACTATATCGGACGCGATGAGCTCCATAACGAGTTTTTCCGCCGTAGGAGAGGAGGACGAGGATCAACTACTGGTGGTGAACGTGGAAATGGATAACTTACCCGCGCGCGCCCTGCAAGCGGACAACCTACTCCCCCCTTCCGCGCTCCCCCCTGCTGCTGCGCCCCCAGGCGCGGTTCCGCGCCAGGGCAGTCTGGGGGCGGCGGGTTTGCCGTCCATGGGGTTGGCGAAACAGCACAGTCTCAAATCGGACCCGGGAACCGTGTCAGGGGCGGGCGCATCCGGGGCGGGCGTATCTGGGGTAGGTGCATCCGGGGCGGGTTGTTCCGACAGGGACGTGACTTTGCTTGAGATGCTGGCGCACGTGGGATCGCGGCTGTTTGAAGCGGTAGGAAGCGCGGAAGAAGGGGGAGGCGCATCCGGGGTAGGTCACAGCGGTGGGTTAGATAACCCTACGAGAGACCACAGCGGCAGTTTGGCAAGGTCGTTAGGTGGGGGGCCGGGGGAGGGGCGGAGTGTGCGGGCGGGGGGGAGGGGCGTGTCTGGGGATGGCATGTCTGATGTGGATAGAGAGAGCGTGGGGCGGGGGACGGCTAGATCAGCGTCAACAGCAAGGAGTAGGGTGGCTGCTGCCAGTGCAGCTGCAGTTGCGAAAGGGTTTCCGGCCTTTTTCAAATATTTCGCGTATGGGATTGATAGGCAGACGATTGAAGAGGAAGGGGAGGATATACCGTCGTGCGGGCTGGCAGGGTTGTTTGTCCCCGGGTCGAAAAAGAAAGCGGTGCTGATTCGGTGGCGGTATGATGTGTCTAAATACGATGAATCTACCGTGGCGAGGCTGAGCGCGAATTTTTGTTTTCTGGTGGAGCGGATTGCGTCTCTGCCGTCGATCGAGGCGCTGCCGATTTATTACCTGCCCGTGCTGACCGACGCGGAAAGAGAGCAGCTAGAGGACAAATTTTCCGGGCGGCTGGTGCCGCATGCGTTTTGGCATGAGGAGGAAGAAGGGAGGAAGCTTCTGCTGGATGTTGGGGGGTATAGGGATGGGAGGGGGGTGGGGAGAGGCGGCAGGGATAAGTTAAGGGAGAAGGATCGGCTAAGGAGGAAGAAGAGGCAAGAGGAGGGGAAGGGAGAGGGTGTGGAAGGTGGTGGGGAGAGGGGCGGAGATGGGGTGATTGTTGGAGCAGGTGATAATACTGAAGGGAGGGTAGTAGAGGGAGCAGCAGGAGCATTAACAGCAGGCACATTAGCAGCAGGAGCAGTAGCAGGAGCAGTAGGAGTAGGGATTGCAGCAGGTGATGCTGCTGCTACTGGTGCTGCTGCTACAGCCATTGCATCTCTCCCTCCCCCTCCTCCTTCCCCTGGTGCAGCCTCGTCCGCCGCCCAGTCTCAGGTGGGTTCTAGCGCCAGAGGGGGGGCAGCTGGCGGAGCAAGGGCAGGCGGAGGCGGAGGCGCAGGGGGAGGGGGGGGCGCGGGGGGAGCAGGGGCAGCGGGCAGTGTGGTGACATCAGGATTCGACACGGTGACAGATCTGTCGGATGCGGCGCCAGGGAGTGTGGGCAGGGGGGCGAGGAGCAGGGGCCGGGGCCTGAATGTGCGCGATCGCACCCTGGTGGATCTGTTTGAACGGCAGGTGAAGGTGAATCCTGCTGCCACTGCGCTGCTGCTGCTGCACCGGGGGAGAGGGCGCGGGGGCACGGGCGGAGGGGGGTCATGGGGAGGTGGAGCGGGAGGAGGGGGGTCGTGGGGGGCTGGAGGAGGAGGAGAAAGAGGAGCGGGAGCGGGAGCAGGAGGAGGAGCAGGAGGAGGAGGAGGAGGAGGAGGAGGAGGAGGAGGAGGAGGAGGAGGAGGAGGAGGAGGAGGAGGAGGAGGAGGAGGAGGAGGAGGTGGTGGGGTGGAAGGGACGAAGGTGGTGGTGAGGGAAGCGGTTTCGTATGTGCAGCTGCATGCGCGTGCCCTGCTGATCGCGAGGTTCGTTGCCAAGAAGCTTCCTCGCCCTGCTCTCATCCCGGCGTCGCACCGGGGTAGCAGCCACAGCACCCCTGCCGCCACCCCCAAGGCCGCCTCCTCTGCTGCCGCCGCCGCTGCTGCTGCTGCTGCTACGGCCGCTGCTGCTGCTGCTGCTGCTGCTGCCAACGGCACGGGTGTTTCTGTTGGTTCCCCAACCGTTTCAGCAACGCCAGCAGCAGGAGGAGGGGCAGGAGCAGGGGCGAACATAGCAGCAGCGGCAGCAGCAGCAGCAGCAGTGGGGGCAAGCCGTGCGAGACCAGAGGTGCAGCTAGTGGGGGTGTGTATGGAGAGAGGGGTGGATTGGGTAGCAGCTATTCTTGGGATTATGATGGCTGGACGGGCGTATGTGCCTCTGGATCCCTCCCTGCCACGTGGCAAGCTGGAGGAGATTGTGGAGGAGTCCGGGATCATGCTCGTGCTGACGTCGCGCCACCTGGCGGATGCGCTGATGTGGATGACTCCACGCTCGCCACGTGGCGCGGCCGCCACATCAGCGTCAAGTCCGCGAGCGGCCAATCAGGGAGGGCCAGAGGAGGTAGGTCAGAGGCAGGATCAGCAGCAGGAGGAGCGGCGGCGGCGGCACCATCTGTTGAAACACAAACGGGCTGGAAGCTCGGGAAGTTCAGGGAAGGCGGAATCAAGAGGAGAGGCTGGTATGAGCGACAGTAGAATCAGCATCAGCAGCGATCGGAGGACTGGAGTGGCGATTTTCTTCCCCAGCAGCAGCAGCATGGGTGCCGCTGACAGCAATCACAGCAGTTGTATTTCAGGCGAGGGGCGTTGGGCGAGGGCGCTGCCTGTGTGGGCGGTAGAGGAGGTAATCGAAGGGGAGGTGGAGGAGGAGAGGGCGGAGCGAGCGCTGCTGGGAGACTGGGGGCCTGGAGATGAAGGGATGACTGGTAGAGATGCAGGAGCAGGAGGGGTAGGGCCTGGGGCTGGTGTGGGGGCGAGTGCAGGTGTGAGTGCAGGGAGTGCGGGATTGGATGTGCTGGTGGGGTTGAGACCGAGGGCGAGTGGGACGTGCTGTGTGGTGTATCGAGAGAATGAGGTGGGGCGCGTGCGGGGCGTGGTGTTGCAGCACCAAGGGGTGGTCAACATGGTGCATTGCTTTAGACACAGATTGCCTGCCGAACACTCTGCTGCTGCTGCTGCTGCTGCTGCTGCTGCTGCTGCTGCTGGTTCGAATCCTGCTCCTGCCACTGTTGCGCCTGCCACTGCGGCTACAGGTGCTACAGCTGCTACTGCTGCGGCGGCTGTAGCGGCGGCTACAGCGGCGGCGGCTGCTACAGCGGGAGCCGCTCCCCCTGTGGATGTGAGGGCGCAGATCTCCCCCGCGCACCTGCCAGCGCACCTCTTTGAGCTGTTCACAGCATTCGATGTCGGCGCCGCTGCTGCCATCTGCCCCTCGCCCCTCGAACCCCATTCGCCGCACAGCTCTGCTCCTTATAACGAATCTGCTTTTAGCGGAGCAGGAGGAGCAGGGGCTCTTGCTGCTGCTGCTGCTGCTGCTGCTCATGAGTCTGCTGTGGTTCACGCACAGGCATGTGCGGAACTTTCCTCAGAAGCTTCTCTCCTGGGTGTTTCTGGGCTGCTCACACTGCCAAGTGTCGCGATGTGGTTGGAGCCCCGGTCGCTCCCGAGCCTGCGCTGGGTGGCCTTCTCAGGCGAGCCCGTACCTAGAGCTCTGGTTTGGCGCTGGCTCCGGGCCGGACGTGTGGTGGTAGATATTTACGGGGCTGTCGAGTGTTCCCTGGCCGCCACGTGTGCAGTCTGGCGGCCTGGCGACAGGGTGGCAGATACAATCGGCCGGCCACTGCCAGGTGTCCACGTGTACATTCTCGGGCCAAACCTCGAGCTCCTCCCGATCGGTGCGGGCGGCGAGGTGTGCATTGCAGGGATACACGTGGCGAGAGGGTATTGGAAGAAGCACGGGGAGACGCGGCAGAGGTTCGTGAGCAACCCATATGGCATGGGAGTTCACGACCGGAAGCTGTTTCGAACAGGAGACCGAGGGAGGTGGTTACCAGACGGGTGTGTGCAGTTTCTAGGGAGATTAGAGCAGCAGGTGTATATCCGAGGGTTGTCTGTAGAGCCGGTGCAAATAGAGGAAGCGGGGAGTAAGGTGGATGGGGTGGCACGCTGTGTGGTGGCCTTCAGGGCGCATGACCCTGGGAGACAGCCGTATCTCGCTGCCTATCTGCTGCTTAAGCCGTCGCTCGCAGCGGCTGCTGCTGCTGTGGCGGCTGCAGGAGAGGCAGGGGTGGGGGGAGGGGCTGGGGGGGAAGCAGGGGTAGGGGCAGGGGCGGGGAAAGGGACGGGGAAAGGCGGGGGGAAGGTGCAGACTCCAGCTCAGCAGCTACTGGCGTCACAGCAGTTAGCAGCTGTGATTCCTAAGAAGGTCCGAGAGTATTTCAGATCCACCCTCCCTCCTCACGCTGTTCCCTCAGCTATCCACGTGATTCACCACCTCCCCTGGACCAAGTCGGGCAAGGCCGACCGCTCCCGCCTCCCTCTGCCGCCCGCGGACTCCTTTTTTGTCTCTTGTGACGAGGACGGGTCTGTGGGCGGCACGGGGTTGGGAGCGGGCGGCGGGGATCCGTTAGAGACGGCGGAGGAGCGGGCAGTTGCGGTGATATTTGCCGAGGTGCTGCCCGGAGTCGAGGCGGGCAGGTTGCGGAGAAATTCAAACTTTTTCGAGCTGGGCGGGAATTTGTTTCTGGCAGCACAGGTGGTAACGAGGTTGGTTGATTCTATCGAGAGTTCTGTTAAGGAGGGTGGGAGCAATGGGGGGGATGGCGGCAGTGCTGCTGCTGCTGCTGCTGCCGCTGTGGCTGCTGGTGGTAGGGTGCAAGGAAAAGGAGGTGGAAAAGGGGAGGGGGGAGGAAAGGGCGGGAAAAGAGGGGGAAAAGGCAGCAGTGGGAGCATGAGTTCAGCTCACACTGGGGACGCAGCAGCAGCAGCAGGTGTAGCGGGAGGAACAAGGGCAGAGTATTACCGCGCAGGGCTGACGTTGAGAGACATGTTCAGTGCGCCCACTGTCATGGGCCTTGCTGCTGCCCTGCACCGCGCTGCTACTGCCGCTGCTGCTTCTGCTGCGGCTGCGGCTGCTGGTACTGGTTCTGGTGGTGGGGGAGGACTGGGCTTGAGTCTGGATGAAGGGTCGGAAGACAGTGATGGGGAGGAGGAGGGGCAGGCAGGCTCGGGGGAGAGGTTGCTGCGCCTGGCACCCTTCCCTTCAGCCGCTGCTGCTGCTGGCTCTGCGAGTGCTGCTGCTAGTGGTGCTGGTTCTGCAGCTGGTGGGGCAAGTGAGGGGGATGGGGCGGGCGGAGTGGTGGGGGTGGCGCTGTCAGAGGCGCAGGTGCTGCTGTGGGTGGCGTATCATGCTCTGCCGCACCCGCAGCTGTTGGACGAGTGCCATGTGTGGCGCCTGCAGGTGAGAGAGACGAGTGCCATGCCATGCGTGTGCCATGCGTGTGCCATGCAGTGGTGGTGTGAAACGACCTCTATGCCCTCGCCCCATTGCTTCAAATTCTGCTCCCCTCCCTTCCCCTTCTGTCACCCCCTCTCCTCTCTACCTTCCCTCCAACCCTTCCTCTCCAATCACACAGGGCCCGGTCAACTTCCCTCGCCTGCAGCGCTGCGCTCGCGCTTCGTCGTGTGGCACAACAGCCAGCACAAGCCGAAGTCATTGCTCGTATTCCCCCGTCCAGCTTTCCTCTCCAATCACACAGGGCCCGGTCAACTTCCCTCGCCTGCAGCGCTCACTGCAAGCACTGGTGGTGCGCCATGCAGCCCTGCGCTCTCGCTTCGTCGTCTGGCACAACAGCCAGCACAAGCCGAAGTCATTGCTCGTATTCCCCCGTCCACCTTTCCTGCCCAAACACACAGGGACCAGTCAACTTCCCTCGCCTGCAACGGTCCCTACAAGCACTGGTGGTGCGCCATGCAGCGCTGCGCTCGCGCTTCGTCGTGTGGCACAACAGCAAGCACAAGCAGTCGGGGAGAGGTGGTCCTGGTGGTGGCGGCAGCAGGGGCAGCAGCAGCAGCAGTAACAGCAGTTCGCTGCGGTTGAAAGCGGCTGTGATGGATGCAGCTATCAATTCCCTCAGGACTGAGCTCGCTGCTGTTGCTGCTGCTGGCGCTGCCGGCTCTTCTGGAAATGCGAAGGGCAGGAGGCAAGCAGGGAGAGGAGCAGCAGGGGCAGGAGGAGCAGGAGGAGCAGGAGGAGGAGGAAGAGCCGGAGCAGGAGCAGGAAGGGGAGGAGAAAGAGTGAGTGTAGCAGCAGGTGGTGGGGAGAGCAGGGGAGGAGGAGGAGGGGGGTTTGTCTATCGGGCCCTAGCAGGGCTGTTCGCTCCGAGCCTTTTTGCTCCCAGCTTCTGGAAGACGGCAGAGAGTGTGTTGGAGTGTGTCACGCAGATCCACACCCACCCCACACATGGCCCTCCTTTTAAGCTCGCTCTGGTGGATATTTCCGGCGCAAAGTACTCCAAACGAAACAAGCTTATAGCGGGGATAATCGCGGAGGCGAGACGGCCGTTTTTCCTGAGGACTCCGGAGGAGGCGGCAATGCAGCTTACGGTGGGTGGGAGTGGGGGGGGTGGGGGGGATGGAGGCAGTGGGGGTGGCATGGGGGGGTTGGGAGTGAGTGGGGGAGGAGGAGGGATGGGAGCAGCAGAAGCTGGGCTGTTAACAGGAAGAGGAGGAGGAGCCGCCGCGGCAGCTGCTGCTGCAGCAGCCGCAGCCAGATTGGGTGCGGGAGCGGACAACGCAAGCGGCGGCGGCGGCGGTAGCAGCAGCAAGGTTGGAGAAACGGCAGCAGCAGCAGCAGCAGTAGCAGGGGAAGGGGAGAGCTTGTTTCGAGCGACGCTGATCCGGCTGAGCGCCACGGAGCACTCTCTCGTGCTCGTGTGGAACCCTCTCATCTTCGACGGCGTCTCCTCCTCGCTCTTCTACTCCGACCTCCTCCAGGTGTGCAATCTCTGGGTTTTTCTTTTGAGAATTCTCAAAAGCGATTCAAAAGAGAGTTCTCCAAATCGACTCCAGGTGTGCAATCTCTGGGTTTTGCTTTGCGCGCATCATTTGCTTTGCGCGCATCATTTGCTTTTGCAAAACCTTCTTTGCTGGTGCAGTCTTTGGGTTTCCTGCGCAGTTTTTGCTGTTGCTCTAACCTTCTACTTCTCACCACTCTTATACTCCTCCCTCTTTCTCTCCTCCCTCTTTCTCTCCTCCCTCTTTCTCTCCTCCCTCTTTCTCTCCTCCCTCTTCTACTCCAACCTTCCCTCTCCAGGTTTACAAGGCGGGCGGCTCGGCGGCAGACCTCCCCGCAGTCGCCAGCTACGCGGATTTTGTCCTGTGGGAAAAGGACAATCTGGCGAGTGCCGGGCACAAGGAGTGGGACCTGGGGTTCTGGAAGCAAGCAGTGGGTGTACCTCCCCCAAAACTACCTCCCCAGCTGCAACCCAAGGTAGACGAAAGCGGGAGCGAAGGAGGAGCGAGAACAGGCAGAGGAGGACGAGTAGCAGCAGCAGCAGGAGCAGGAGCAGGAGGGAAAGGAGGAAGAGCGGCGGCTGCGGCAGCAGCAGTGGCGGCAGGAGGGTTGGCCTTGGCGCTGCGCAAGGGGCATGTGGAGGTATTGATAGCTGCAAGCACCCGGAGGCGGCTCGAAACCTACGCCTTCCACCGCGGCGCCACTCTCTCCATGGCCCTCCAAACCGTTCTGCACGCCTTGCTACACCTCTGGACCCACCAGCACTCCGTCGCGATTGCCGTCCCGGTCGCTAGGAGACAAATCCTGCCGCTCCAGTCGGTGATCGGGCGGTTTTCAGATGTGCTACCCGTGGTGACGGATATGAGGAAGCATCTGAGCCCTCCATTGGTGGTGGCTGGACGGCTGAGATCGTTTACTTCGTCGATCAGCCGAGCATCATCGTGTGTCTCATCTAGATGCGTCTCCCCTTCTACTTCCCGCCAGTATTCCGCGCTCTCTCCTCGCCTCTCTGCTTCCACTGCCGCTGCTGGAGCCGGTGGGCCAGGTTCGGGCTTCCGACCCTCCAGCCATGGAGGCCGGAGCTCCGGAAAGGGAGAGGGGGATAGGCCGGGGTCGGCAGGGGGGAGGGGAGGAGGAGGGGCAGTGGAGGGAGGCGGTGGGGGTTACTCTAGCAGCGGGGATGACAGGGAAGACGGGGCAGCTTTGACAGCAGAGAGAATAGGTGCTGCTGCTGGTGCCACTAGTTGCTTACGCCCTGGGTTGGCTGGGAGGAAGGGGGATGGAAGGAGGGGAGGAGGAGGGGGAGGGGGAGGAGGAGGGGGCGGGGCGGGTGGGGGAGCAGGGAGGAAGCTGTGTCTGCCCAGCGAGGTGCATGCTATTGGGGATACGGACTCCCCACCGCTGCCCTCCCCTCGCTCCTCCCCTGCTCCTGCTGCTGTATCGGCTGTGGCTGCTGGAACTGGTGTGGCTGGTGGGACTGGTGCTCCTGCTGATGCTGCTGCTGCTCTGAGACAAATCGCGGCTGCTGATGTTGATGGGTCGAAGCAAGGGCAGCAGGGGCAGGAGTTTGTTCAGGGGAGTGGGGGTGTAGGGGTTGGCACTGACGTGCTCTCACTCGCTGCGGCTGCTGTTGCTGCAGGGAAGAGGGGGAGGCGTGGGGAGGAGAGTCGGCCTGGTGGGGGGAGTGGGTTGGTGCAAGGAAAGCAAGCTGGACTGATGAAAGGGAAAGGGGCGGATGGGGAAGGAGGAGGGAAGGGGGAGACGATGGGTGGGGGCAAGGGAGGTGGGGAGATGTGCAACGATCAGTGGATGTCGGAGGGTGTGTCGTTTGAGCAACTGCTGTTCCAAGTAAGTAACTCGGTGCTTCCGTCTCTTAGGTACTCAATGGTGATTAGTTTTTGAAAGCCGCTCGTCCTCATGCTGCAGTGCAGTGCATGTCTGATCTGAGGGTGTGTCCTCTAAGCAACTATTATTCCAAGCACGTAACGCATTCCCTCCATCCTTCATTCTAATTAATATCAAATCATATATATATATATATATATATATATGTGTATAGGAAAACAGAATAAAGGTTGCTCACCCTTACAGCCGCTGCTGCTCTCCGAAGAATGTGACTCAGTGCCTTCTTCCCTGCCAATGTGACTCAGTGCCTTCTTCCCTGCCAACTTTGCAACACGCTGCCAGCCTTGTCATGCTTCTATCGCCCCGGGCGCCCTTCCATTCTACCTGTGCTCTCCCACCCGCCAGGTGCGAGAGCACACGCTGCAGCCGCTGCACCGTTGACCTGTGGTTCAAGGTGCCACCGTTGCCAGCAGTCCACCGTTGCCACCTGTGGTTCCACCTGTGGCTCACCATTCAAGGTGCCACCGTTGCCAGCAGTCCACCGTTGCCACCTGTGGTTCCACCTGTGGCTCACCATTCAAGGTGCCACCGTTGCCACCGCTGCACCACCACTCCCATCTCCCTTGAAAATTAACGCTCTTTTCTTCCATTCTCCTTTCCTCACCCCCCTCAATCCCCCCTCCCCCACCCACCAGGTGCGAGAGCACATGCTGCAAGCCCTGCAGCAGCAGTCCATCTCCCTTTAGAATAGATGCTCTTTTCGTCCATTCCCCTTTTCTCACCACCCCCCCCCCCCCCCTTCCCCCCTCAACCCCCCCTCCCCCACCCACCAGGTGCGAGAGCACATGCTGCAAGCCCTGCAGCAGCAGTCCATCTCCCTTTAGAATAGATGCTCTTTTCGTCCATTCCCCTTTTCTCACCACCCCCCCCCCCTTCCCCCCTCAACCCCCCCTCCCTCACCCGCCAGGTGCGAGAGCACATGCTGCAAGCCCTGCAGCACCAATCCATCTCTCTCCGTCTGCTCGCCTCAGCACTGCACCCCACCGCTCCCGACCCCTTCACCTCCCCCTTTGCCCTCGCATCCTTCGCCCTCACACACCCGGGAACCGACTCTCCCCCGAACCTGCTCCCTTTGGAGGACTCCCTAGTGGGGGACCTAGACCTCGAAGCCTCTTCTGCTGCTGCTGGATTTACTGCTGGGTTTGGTGCCGCTGGTGCTACTGGTGCTGGTGCTGCTTTCCCTGGTGGTGCTGCTGGTGGTTTTGGTGGTTTGATGGGTGGGGTGGGCGGTGGGGTGGGTGGAGGGGCGGAGTTTGGAGGGAGTGTGGGTGGTGGCGGGTGGGGCGGCGAGGTGGCACTGTTTCCCTTGGGATTGTCGCTGCGGCCGCTGAGAGACGGGCGGCTGGCCGGGCGGCTGACTTACCAGGTAATGATTGCGGGGTATGCTGGTTAACAGCCCGTTGATTTCTGGGCTATTTATAATTTCAGACGATGTGATTCATGCAGGTGATTCAGTTCAGGTGCTGTTGCTGGGAGCCTAGGACTTGGGAATCCCCCATCAGTTGGAACCCCTCCCCCTTCGCCTTCCCCTCTCCCTCCCTTACCCCCACCCACCCACCTAGTTGACTTTTGAGTCGACTCAAAAGTCAACTTTCCCCTCTCCCTCCCTTACCCCCACCCACTCACCTAGTTGACTTTTGAGTCGACTCAAAAGTCAACTTTCCCCTCTCCCTCCCTTACCCCCACCCACCCACCTAGTTGACTTTTGAGTCGACTCAAAAGTCAACTTTCCCCTCTCCCTCCCTTACCCCCACCCACCCACCTAGTTGACTTTTGAGTTGACTCAAAAGTCAACTTTCCCCTCTCCCTCCCTTACCCCCACCCACCCACCTTGCCAGGAGGATGCGCGGTGCCTAGAAGTATCGCAGAGGTGCTAGCGAGGCAGATAGAGCGGCTGGCAGAGGCAGCAGTGGAGTCCCCCCGGCCCTTGCTGCTGGATGAACCCTGTGCCAGGGCGCTGAAGCAGGCGAGGAGTGCACTGAGAAGGGAGAAAGGCATGCAAGCAGGCCGCAGAGGCAACAAGTGCTTGACACACGCTTTTTTGTTTCTCCTCCTTCCCCCATTCCTCCCCCTCCCCCGCCCACCCATCCCCCCAGGAGGATGCAGTGTCTCGAAACATAGCAGAGGTGCTAGCGAGGCAGATAGAGCGGCTGGCAGAGGCAGCAGTGGAGTCACCTCGGCCCTTGCTGCTGGATGAACCCTCTGCCAGGGCGCTGAAGCAGGCGCGGAGGCGCGGGGCGGGTGGGGATGGGGGGAAAGGGAGTGGCGGAGGGGGTGGGGGAGGGGGAGGGGGAGGGGGAGGGGGTGGGGGAGGGGGAGGGGGAGGGGGAATGGTGGGGCCGATTGGATGCATGCCGTTGTGTATAGGGCGGGATAGGCGGGTGTTGGTGACGCAAGGGTCGTCGGATTCAGATGAGTCTGATGTGAGCGTTTGAGGGGTGTGGGGGAGGGAAAGGGAGGGAAGGGGGGAGGGGATGAGGGTGGGAGGAGTGGACGTATGGTGGGGCCGATTGGGTGCATGCATATGTGTATAGGGCGGGATAGGCGGGTGTTGGTGAGGCAAGGGTCGTCGGATTCAGATGAGTCTGATGTGAGCGTTTAAGGGGTGTGGGGAAGGGAAAGGGGGGGGAGGTGGGGTTGGGGGTGGGAGGAGTGGACGTATGGTGGGGCCGATTGGGTGCATGTGTATGTGTATAGGGCGGGATGGGCGGGTACTAGTGAGGCAAGGGTCTTTGGATTCCAATTAGTCTGATGTGAGTGTTTGAGGGGTGTGGTGCTTGATGGGTGTGACGAGTGGGGTTGAGGTGGGGAGGGGATGGGTATGGTGGATAGGCGGGTACTAGTGAGGCAAGGGTCTTCGGATTCGGATGAGTCTGATGTGAGCGTTTGAGGGGTGTGGTGCTTGATGGGTGTGGTGCCATGATGAGAAAGAGGCTCAGGAGGGGTGAGGTGGGGGGAGGGGGTGGTGGGGGTATGGTGGGATAGGCGTGTGCTGATGAGGCAACGGTCTTTGTTCTGATGGCGTTTGAGAATTCTCAACAGTCACACGAAGATAGGCGTGTGCTGCTGAGGCAACGGTCTTCATTCTGATGGCTCTGATGTGAGCGTTTGATGGGGTGGGGTGTTTGAGGGGGTGGGGTAGGGTGGGGGGGGAGGGGGGTTGATGGGTGTGGTGTGTGAGGGTTGCTGGTTGCATGAGGTGTGAGTGTGGAAGGAGGTTGGTGACCAGGATTGTCCCGGTGAGGGCTTTTCAGTGGGGTGCTCTTGGGATGGATGGGTGCTTTGTTGCGACAGGTGGGAGGGGAGGGGAGGGGAGGGGAGGGGAGGGGAGGGGATGGGAGGGGAGGGGATGGGATGGGGTGGGGTGGGTTGGGGTGGGGTGGGGTGGGGTGGGGTGGGGTGGGGTGGGGTGGGGTGGGGTGGGGTGGGGTGGGACGCAACACGGTGAAAGGCAGTGTAACACACTGAAGAGGGCGCGTTAACAGCTGAAGACTTGCACCCACTAACAGAGGACTGGCAACAGCAGATCTGGTCTGATTTGACCCATTAGTGGACAGCAGCAAGGTCCTGCATACAAGGGACGGGTCTGCAGTGTACTAAGGCTTCTGGCAGCTACAGTACATAACTTGATTTGATTTCATTGCTGCTACCGTAACTCTACGCGGAAACTGTACAGCAGGTCCTACTCATACTTAGCACGTAGCAATGCTGCAATAATCGCGATTCGCTTGCCTCTAATGAGTACAATAATGGTAGATAGTTTGTTCCTTGTCCTGTATGCATCAATATAATCAGATAGGTACCAGTACCGTACATGGCTGTCTGGTCTTGTTCCTTACTGTAGTTTTTACCATTAATATATATGCTCACAGCTTAGTGAAATTTGGTTTTCCTTCCAAATGAGTGCTTGTCTGTATAAGGCACAGTTATGCCATACAGTCAAGGTCTATTCATAGGGCTCTACTCAAGTGTATAGTAGGTAGTAGATCGTACTTAGATAGGTTCGGTCCGGACAGACATTGTGCCTCAGAAAGTGCAAGCAATGCAGGCACAACATAACAAGGTTACTGGTAGTACCATACCTGTGCAAAAATCCCTACAATTCAGCCCACAGATTTCGATAACATAAAAATATGTAGGCGAATTTCTGACAACTGGTAACTGCGGTACCTAACTCGTATCTCAGTATGCTTTACCGGGCCGATTTGCGTCTCGCACATGCTAGAAGTGTTAACGGACTGATTCGGTGCTAGGTAGACTGCTAACAGTGACTGCTGGGCAGGGAGCAGCAGCAGCACCAGGAAAACCAGCTGAAGTAGCAACAAGAGCAGAGCTTGAAGAAGCAGCATTGGCAGCAGCTCTTGAAGCAGCACTCAGAAGCTAATGCAGTTTAAGCCTGGTCTTGCAAGGCGGGACCTGCTGCTGCTGTTACTGCTGCTGCTGCTGTTGCTGCTCCTAATGCTGGTGCTGGTGCTGGTGCTGCTCCCAGTGCTTGTGCTGCTAATGGTGCTGCTAATGCTGCTGGTGCTGGTGCTGCTCCCAGTGCTTGTGCTGCTACTGGTGCTGCTAATGCTGCTGGTGCTGGTGCTGTTGCTGGTGCTGGTGGTGGTGCTGTTGCTGGTGCTGGTGGCGGTGGTGGTGGTGGTGCTGCTGCTGCTGCTGCTGCGTCTGCAGATTGGTCGAACATCGTTCGTTGAGACAGTCGCAAAAATGCAGCAGCTGCTGACGTGGCAGCCTGCAGAATAGGTCGAATATCCTGAGCTGATGCAGCAGCTCGAAGCAACGGGCGAATATCCTGTGCTGACGTGGCAGCACGAAGCAATGGGCTTATATCCTGGGCTGATGTGGCAGCATATGATGATGGGCTTGACTCTTGCACTGATGTGGCAGTTGCTGATTGGACAGGGCGTGATTTGTGACAATGGCATTGGCAGCAGCATCCTGTGGAGGCGCCTGATTGATCGGTGAGCGGTGGTGCTGGGTTCGGAAGGGGATGGTGAAGTGATGAGTGCTGGAGGTGGTTGTGGTGAGGTTGGTTGGCAGGAGAATGAAGGGTATTTTGGGGAGGGTAATTGGGAGGATAATGGGGAGAGTCATGCTGCTGCAGTTGCACACGAGGTGTGTGCTGCTGCTGCAGTGGTTTCTGTAGCTGCTGCTGCTGCTGCTGCTGCTGTTGCTGTTGCTGCTGCTGCTGCTGCTGCTGTTGCTGCTGCTGGTAGTGCTGCTGTTGTGGTGGGTGCTGCTGCTGCTGCACACGAGGCATGTGCTGGTGCTGCTGGTGGCCCAGCTGCTGATACGCTATGGGTGGCTGTTGAATGCTCCCTACTGCTGGTGAGGGTGGTGCTATAGCAGAGATGGGGGCTCTACCTGCTGCTGGAGCCACCATCTGCTGGAATGTAGATGCTCCTGCGGGTGCCATTAGTCCTGATGCTGACGCTGCTGGTGATGATGCTGGTGCTATTGCTGCTGACAGTTGCTTTGCGTCTGCTGCTGCTGCTGCTGCTGCTGCTGCTGCTGCCGATGCTGCTGCCGGTGTTGCTGGTGCTGGTGTTGATGGCACTGCTGCTGCTTGGCCTGCAGAGAATGGGCCTGCTCGCTGACGTGGTATTGGAAATGAGTTTGCTTGTAGTGAAGATGCCCCTAACGGGGATGATGGCACCGGTGGCTTAGGGGAAGCTGCAGGGCTTGCTCCTGTTGAGTTGAAACCCGCAGGGGGGTGTGAATGAAACCCTGGCGGCCGTTTCACTGTTGTACGAGCAGTGGCAGGGAGATGTAACAGCAGTGACGGGCTGGGGCACACAGACACAGCAGGTCCTGGTGTTCCGTTACAAGGCGCTTCACTTGGAGAAATCATTCCCGTGCTTGAACCACTTCTTGCCACGGTCACAGGGAAATTGGAGGAGCACCTAGTGCTTGGTGCTGTTGCTGCACTGCCTGCTACAGTGCCTGCTACAGCACCAGCTGTAGTGCCGACTGCAGTGTTAGGTGCAGTAATAGCCTGTTGTCTATCCGTGGCAGAAGCAGGAGTAACAAGGCAGAGAGAGCTTGCAGGCGCCTCCTGATTGAGCATCCACTCTATCATATCCTCCTCCCCACCCTTCTCATTCTCCTCCCCCCAAATTTGCCCCTCCCCCTCGCCCCTCCCACTCACCACCACTCCCCTCTCACCCACGCCTGCAGTGTCCCCTTCCTCAATCGCAATAGTAACAGCTGTGTTAGCTGTTACTGTACCCGCCGTTACTGTAGTTGCAGTCACTGTAGCGGAGTCCGAACCCCAACCGCCCGTGTAGCTGCCTCCTCCCTCCCCCATCCCCGAAAACGCTCCCCCGGTGCCCTCCCCTAGGGAACTCCAGAACATTTCGTCATCTGCTCCCATCCAATCGTTGAGAACATTTAGCGGGCAGCTTTGGTTGCTCCGACGCTCACCTCGGGCAGCAAAAAGGATATCAATTTCCCCCAAGCCAATCATATCGTTCTGAGCTTTAACTTTAGCAGCGTGGGTTGGGGGTTGCTCCTGCTGTAATTGTTGCTGCCCCGTTTGATTATGCTGCACCGGTTGATTTTGCTGTCCCAATTGCTGCTGCTGCCCCAGCCGTATTTGATGCCCCTGCTTTTTGTGTTTCAACCCTCCCTCCGTATCCTGCTCCCCAACTCGAGGCGCCTTCTCTCCCTCCCCCCCAGTCACTATCTCTCCTCCTGCCTCCGCTTTGGAATACGAGCCGCACGTTATAGGAACATCCGCTGAGACTTTTTCCCGTAACTCCGCTTCTTCCGCCGACACAGTTCCGCCTCCCCCCATGCTTCCGCCAATGCCCCTGCCAGTCTCCTCCTCCGCGCTGCCGCCGCAACTAACCCCCGCGCTTCCCCCCCCAACACTCAATTTCCTCCGCCGCGACCTCAACCCCCTGAACGGCCTGCAAAGTTCCGACGTGGCGCTCTGTAAGCTCGCCACGTGTTTCGCCGCGCCTTCCCTAATCAGCCTCATCGTCTCGATCCCGAGCGCGATCTGCAGCCGTCGGTCGACTTTCCCGCCGTTTTTCGCCAAAACCTCCGCGAATTGCGCCGCGTATTCGCGACTCCCTTCGAAGTTCACTCTCGCGCGCGAACCTCGAATCGCGAGCGCCGCCGCGTCGTACGCGAAAGCAGCTTCGTCCTCCGTGGCGTACGTCCCGAGCCACACGCGCGCGCTCTTCGCGGAGTCGCGAATCTCCGCCGCCCACTTTCCCCACGGGCGCTGGCGCACCCCGCGGTAGTGCAAATAGGGGGAAGCGGAGGCCAAAGAGAGTTCGGACGGCGAGGGGAGGGGGAGCGACGACGAGGATGGGAGGGAGAGTGGGGAGGGCGGGGGGAGAGAGGAGGAGGGAAGAGAGATGGAGGGGAGAGTGGATGGCGGAAGGGAGAGTGGCGAGGAAGCGGAAAGTGGTCGGGGGGATGC